AATATTTGTTTGAATCAAACGTTGAAATTGAGAAAGTTATGATCTGTTTGTCTTTATGAGAAAGTCACTTGTTCATATTATTAACCTTTGTTTCAGAACATTTGTCCAGTTATCAGTGAAGGAAAGGGTCAGACACATACCCTTATCAGTTCTCCGTCCAACAAACATTTGATAGATAGCTGGGCTGGAAAAGTGATAAGGAGATGTGCTCGACAACATATAACGTGAACAGCATTTTGTAATAAAGCAAAAACGTAAAAACAACCGACCTTTACAGAGGTCATAAAAGTGCAAATTCAAATCATCACCGCAAAATGATCGTCCAAAAGGTTTTGACAACTCATTTAGTCAACAATTGAAGGTTGCTAAACACAAACGTCCTCAGAGGAAGTAGATCGCTGCATCACTCCATCAAAAAGCCAGCCGGCTGCAGTTGCCGTCCAACAGTCCAGCGTCCATCTGCGTCCAAAAGGCAGAGTATCTTTGGGGACACGTCCCACAAGCAGTTTTATGTCACTCAGGCCCCACCTCGTGCCAACTGCTGTCCCGTCTCCTACTGGTTGAAAACCAGTGATGAGATTATCTCTTCACCCTGCGGGCTGTGCTTTGTCAAGTCATTGAGGACTGACTGTGTCACAAGAAAGGACGATAACAGTAATAACTACACTACGCTCAAAAACAGGTAGCTCTGCTGGAAAGAAAAAATAAAGCATTTAAAATGACATATAAAATCAGGAGCAGCAAGTACCAGCAAATTATAATCTGTTTTGAAAAAAAGAAAATTTGTAAGTGGCTTGATAAGACGTCAATTGATATTCTACGAAGCTGAATGCATTGTGTTAATTATTAGTTATATCAATTAGGTGGAAATACTAGCAGAAACCACAAAGAAAATCTATAAAGGGGCAATCAAGTTTGAATCCAAATTGCTAGGAATTGACTGACGGTTGATATTCATCTTCTCAAAAGCAACCAGATTCATCTGTGAAAATGTAATTTAGACATCAAGACACACAGTATAACTTGTCTTTAATAATCAACGGTTTCTCTTTGTTTGACAGTGTATCTGCGGCGACTATCACATATTTAGATTGAATCAATCGGGGTTCACATCCAGTGCACTGACGCCCTCTGACCCCTCTGACCCCGCTGCCTGTTTTCAGTTGGCAGAGGAGAGACAGCAGGCGTCTCTGTATGCTTAGGTGGTCGGTATCTCTGCCTGGTTCCTCCCCTCGGCGTGAAAAGTCCTGAGCAAATTAAACACGGGTGGCTCGCTTTCTGATCCGGTTCCGGATTTCTTCTCCACACCGACGCCAACAGCAGTCACACGGATGAGGGGAGATCTGCCGAGCATCTCCTTTGCAATGCTCTGCTCTCCACTGGGATTAGCTGAACCGCATTCCCACAATCAGCAGCTCCGGGTCATCGTAATCACACACACACACACACACACTCACACACACACAGGCAGGGGGCGGGGTTGTCTGTACAAACAAACACACGTAAATTCCTCGCTCTCTCTGTCTCCCACAGACTCAGACCAGTGTGGTTTTACCTTTTCTGTCTCACTAACTGACACACAAACACACACAGTAGAACACATTTGTCACATTATTTTGAGGGACAACACTTGGTTGACAGGTCTCTAAAGGTTGTTGTTTTGTTGCATCCACCCCTCACTGACAGGACAGAGACCCTGTCCCCTCCTCTGACCCACCCTGGGGACGATTGGAACAGATTGTATGAACAAGAGGTCAGCGCACACATCATTACATACCGCCGGAAGGCTCTAGTATCGCAATGCAAAGCAAAACCTTTCAATGCCGGACACACACACACACAGCCACATGCTGCATTGGAAAGTTAAAATAAGAAAGTTGCATTCATTTGAAGCCATAAGAATAGATGATCTGCGTGATGTGCGTGATCTGCAAAAATGTAATTAATTTCTGCAGAAATGAGTCATTTGCTTTTGCTTCTAACGCGAGCATTATTTTGCTTCTCAGCGAGGGCCAGAAACTTTCCGATTCCAAACTGATTTAGTGAAAATAAATTAGCTCCTCTACCACCCATCACTTTTTATCATCCCTGTCTTTTCCACAGTCTAAAGATGATGCAGCACAACGGAGGACCTGGAGTGACCTTTGAATCCTGCTGCGTCCTCCTGGGTCATGATTGCCAGTTGTTAAATAACAATAGATGATTAGTCTGAGACAAATGGGGATTTCCACTGCACTATTCTGTCTGCAAATAAAAGAGGCATTCAGTTTAGTGGTTGCTTGATTTGGCTTTTCCTGTGGAAACCAGGTAATTCCCACTAATGACGCCCTCAGAGAGCGCAGGGGAAGCCTAGGGATTGGCTGACCTCGGGATGATGCAGGCATGCATGTGGGAAAATGTCCTCATGGTGGAACAACAAGCTTGCATTCACCGTTCACACAGACACAGAGGATCAATGCGGGAATGCAAAAAGAGAAAAGGGACAGCTTTGTGATTCATCTGGCAAGAAATTGGCAGCATACGCTTGTGTACGTGAACATAGGCTGTGAACAGTCCTGCAGCATTGCTTGATGCTGCCAAATACAATATAGCGCATATCAGCGGCTCAAATTAATCTCCAGCAGAGGGCACCATGAATGCTTTCTATTTTTAGTAGTTGACTAAGATTTCTAAAGGGGATTACAGGCTTCCGAGGGTGCCTTGCTCTGTTTTCAAGGGAGAAAAGCCTATTTTCTCAGACTGAGCATTAACACGGATCGTCAGCAGTCATTTATCAACTCCTGAGTGTTAAGCAACAGTGATAATTGTCTTCATTGTGTAATATCAGCGTGTAAGGATTTTGCATGCCTTTTGTGTTATTGTGTTTACTTATACTAAAGCACAAGTATTTTCAATGGATCTTCTAAATGGGATGTCAGGCATGATGCTGTTCAATGCATTTGTTTCTGACTCTAGTGTTGGATGTGTAAGCTTTGTTTACCGGTGGCTGGTATGTGCTTTGCACGGCACCGGCATCTAATACACATACTCGCATCTCTTAGGAGACTTTTTCCTAAACCATTTTGGCAGCACTAAACTTGACTCAGTTGCTATGGACACAGATGTTTTTTTTCTCCTCTTTTTCTGTGTCCATGACAACAAAATGACTGTTACAGGAAATGGTATGCATTAAGATACCAGAAAGAAGGAGAGCGAGAGGGAGAAAGAAGGGGGACTTTTTCATTAGTTATGGCAAGTTGAAGTAAATTAGCAATACATTTTTACAATCTTACTGTTATTTGTTATTTTCTCTTTTTTTCTCTCAAATATGTGACTCTTGTATACCTATACCTATTAATAATCAAACAAATATGGAAGCATTCACTTCTGCTTCAATTTGCTATTTCATAATGAGACAGACGATGGAACTCATAAACATACACATGTGTGCACCAACAAATAGTGGATCTCTAAGCGATCCACTATCCGAGAAGGCGGATAAAAGTGGGTGGGGGGATGATGGGATATCCCTAATGACAGTTTATTGCAGTTTGCAGTTTTGTTCTGTTTATGTAAAGGGTCACCAATGAAAAATTAAGATATGTAATTATCCAAAAAATCTGTACAGTATATCTTAATTGTTCACTACATTTGTAGAAAACAAAAATGCCTGAACTGTTAAATCTGAAAAAATAACTTTTCTTTTACAAAATTGATAAAACACATCATAACGTACTTGTAAGCAAATTTAAGTAATAATATAACTTTGAAATTATTATTATAATTGATTTATTCATCAACAACATCAATCATATATAATGATAGTTTGTGACCAAATGCAAAATCACCAAAAGCATTCATTTTTTGAATGCGTGTCTTTGTTCTTGTGTCGGTGGGTCCGAGGCCGCACTGCCTCATTATCCGCGGATGAAAGGTTGAAAATAAAGTATTAACCAGAACACCATGTTTATTGGCTGATGTCAAACTAGAACTGCACGACCACTAGATGGCAGCGTCAAGTCAACCATCAGCCTGCCTGCGAGTGGCCACCAGGCTCATTATTACCACATGATGAGGCTGCACTTCTCGGGAGAAGCTAATGCCGGCTATTAGATGCATATTTAAGAGGGATAAAATAATAAAAAAAACAGAGTGACGAATTCGACACGAGGACATCTAAGGGTTCTTGTGAAATAAGAAATCCACCCGAGGCCTTCGGCTCAGCAGCTTTTATATTCATCATGCATACAATTACAGAGGGTTTTAAGGTGTCCTTATCTGCTATGAATGTTGCCCATAATAACAACATAACGCATCAGCTTCAAAGGAACGGCCACTGCCACTTTGTTGTTACCTCCTTGGCGTGTGCATTTTCAATTATCTCTCAGGTCTTTCACCTGATTACACTTAAAGATTTTGAACTTGCTTACATCATCGGGGATAAAAGCGTGCAGCGTGATACTGTAAGTAGTGTGCAGAGCATGTCATTATTCATAATACACAATATTTGAAAATCATCATGAAGAAGAAGCAGTGCCAATTAGACCGACGACACATTATTCAAATGAGGTGGTGGGAGTTCGTTCTTGATATAGTACCAAAGCTTATACAACAAATAGAAGTGTAACCGTAACAGTAGAGCACAATAAATGTGTTAAGTTTATTTTGATATTGATAAAAAATACATTTATTTTATATGTGCTGAGAGAATACCGTATCTCCGCTGTGTTACATATACTGTAAACTATTCCTTCCTTACTGACTTTACTTTGCTGAGTAAACTCTAGATTATCATGCACGCATGATTTTGACACTCAAATTACGGAAACAACTTAAAAAGGTTTTAGAAAAGATGGCATCGTGTAGGCACAATATATTATATAATTGTACAATAACTATATAATAATAATGATACAATAATTGTATAAGCCAATTTGAATTACATGTTCATTGTATACAGTAATTGGCTGACAGGAGAGATGTAGTCAAAGAAATCATTACACCATTTTTGTTCCTGCGTATATGAGCATGATTTGGGATGATTTATTAATAGCTTTCAGTTGACAGACTGATGACAAGCGAGTCTTAGTTGTGAAACAAACCCAATTAAGAGAGGAGGTCAGGGAGAAAACCCACCGAGAAATGCATTTCCACAAAATACTGCAGTAAAAAAGGGAGATAAAAGTGGGCATTAAAGATCACAACCTCAAATATCAACTCTGCACAGTTGCAAGTCTTGTTGCTATGGAGATGCATTCTACTGCAGGTGTGAGTAACGACAGAGGAAGTCAACTGTGCTTCCCTCTCGTCGTCTCTTTCTGCTCCTCTGTAGCTCACGTGGTCTTCACGGCATGTGTGAGCGCACGTGAGCGCGCGCGTGTGTGTCCGCACTAGACAGGCTAAGAAACATCCGTGACAAATGAACCGTGGGTTATGTTTCAACGTGCTTATGCTTGTGAACTTCTTGATCACAAACACGAGTAGATCACAATTACGAGCTTCGTTTTCCCCAAATCTCGTGATGTTTTCCTCCACGCCGTTGTGCCAGGGAGGTGTCTCAAAAGGAAAGGTGACACTCGCGGGCCTTTGAGCTGTGCAAATGTAATTAGCCCTCAAGCAGGGTGCGCACATTGTAGGCTGAAATAAATACATGCATGTGTCCAAATACTGCTGGAAAGAGCTGCAGTGAACCGAGATGACATTGCTTTGCGTCAACGCTGTTTGAAGAAATCCAATCTGAAAAGCAAAAAGAGATTTGACCTGGCAAGATGTGATATGACTCTTTTCAAACGGGCTTTCATAAGCTAATGTGGCACTTCATTTTAAGGCTGTGTTTGGCAAAAATAAATGTTTTTATCACTTCATCTCTTCTCAATGCCCATGATTAATCACTGAGTTTGTTTTAATAAAACATTTATCGTTTAAGTCGTTTACGTCAAACCCAGAAAAACTGAAAACAAACATTTACACAGTTGTGAGGATCTGATAAACCTAATATGGGTTTTTGACAATTGACCTCGAGCTCTGCTTAACTCGATACATCAAATGATTCATATATTGATACAAAATAATACACATTTGTAAAATATTTTATTAGTATACTTCTCATCAAAATGTACAATTTAAATGGAGACAGACTTTTTTTTCTCCATACGAATTACACCCTCACATTGACTTGTCCACTTCTATCAGATTGGGAGCTGTTGTTATGCACTGCGGGCGGCTGCAGCTCTGCTTCCTTGTGGCTTTGTGGCTTTGAGTCTAACCGAGGTGGACTGAGAGAAAGTTATTAATCCCAGGGCTGCGGTTTCACTCAGGAGGCCACGATTGGGAAAAAACACAATTCCCTTACTGTGTGACTTTAAATAGACTTCTCATGTTGTTCGTCTAAATATACAGGATGAAGTGCAGACGTTAAGATCCAGCGTACTTGATCCGGCATTGTTATTAATAGGGGCTGACATTTTCACAGTTCACGGCTCAATCATTCTGTGCAAGCCTTGGTGAGCCTGCACATTTGTATTACGATGCATAAAAGCTCACTCAAGTGTCCACATTTGTTCATAACTGCATTTTGAAGTACAGATAAAAGCTAGAGATAACTGTCTGCAGGGAGAAAGCACAATGAGGTTTCTGTACAATTACTCGTGCTAAAACTCAGGGCTAATAGAAGTAATAATTTATAATGTTCATTTGTTATCAGTATGATGAAAGGACGTATGTTCCTTGTACATGGAATTCCAATGGAAGGTACCAATTGAACTCTTAACTGATTTTGATGTGAGAGGGTCAAGAACAACCACAACCGCCACAACAAACACCGCAGAGAGAGAGAAACAGACAATGCATTTGTATTTCTGTGCCTCAAAAAGCTCTCAGATTTCCTCAAACTCAATGTGTCTCTTGGTCCTAAACCCATTGTTTGCTATTGCAGATTCAAATCATTAAAAACAGCTCACAACTATAAAGTGGAAATTATTTTAAAACGCACTTATTTGTTTCTTAAAATTGCTTGACATGGCATCTGTTTTTTAGCCGACGTTGCTCAAAATGGAGGAAATTGAGTATCGTAAGGGTTTAAACCATGGACAGTATATAAGTAATGGACATAGTCACCTTGACAACAGCCATTGTCTTTGTTCTTTTGGATCCATGCAGAAGTATAGAGCGGGTGGAGACTAGAAAACATCTAGTCTCTTTCATGAATTGAAAACACTTTGAATGATCCTCTATCAGGTATTTCACACTCCTGTGACCATCATTTCCTGAATGAACATCTTGCTGTATTTAATAAGGGTTCAAACTAGCCCTTCAGACTGTGAACTCAACCTCAAATGAAACATGTCTACTTGGGTAGTAATTAAGTATTCTGAGTATGTGAAGTATGTAAAGTAAAAGTGAATATGTTCTAATACAGTCAACCCTCCTGGTTTCACTTTTAAGACCTTGACGTTGCCCCTTGGTTAATGCACATTTGCGCTTTAATGAGTATTGCCTTACCATGTTAGTCCTCATGCAACATGGCCAGAAATAGTTTAGACAACCATGATGGCACATAAGTCGAGGAATTAGTTGCATCCGGCCTTTGCTACACAGAGTAGTAATTTTCCAAGATCACTCCACTGTTGGTTTTTACAGGACAATATAAAAAGAAAATGGAACACTTCCAGCACCGTCCTTCAAATCTGCGCTTTCACCCGGACAAGAAAAATACGCCGAGGAGGTTTTAAGATCCATGCCTGACGATTTTGTTGAAGGGGCTGTTGACCGTAGCAGCTGAGCTGCCACTAATGGTGTAACGCCGCCTGGCCATGGTGAGCACTGGGCTGGAGTGCAAGAGATGGCGCTCTTCCAGGATGTGACCATTAAAGACTCATTAGTCCCTATGATAGCCCTGATGATCGGCACTCTGAAAAGAGTCATCCAAGGAATAGGTCAGCATATGGATCTTAATTTGACCCCAACAACCTGTCGCTGATTTGCAGCATTTGGCATATTTTTAGATCTAATTTAACGGTGATTGAGTGCCGTGGAGACACCATTGGTATTAACCACCGGGTCGTCTCGCTCCTCCACATGAAATCATTTCATTTTATTTCATTTTATTTGCACTCAACAGCTGCATGTATGTCTGTTCAGGGAGATGGATCCTTCTGTTACTCTTATCCAAACATGAGGGTCTAAGCACAGAGAGTTTTGTGTGCTGCACATAATACGAAGGCTCTTCAGTCTTGACAGAAATGTTGAGCTGATACTGGTGTTAGATGAAAATGCAAATGAACATTGGAGTCATCAAAATACATTTTCTTCTATCCATGATCTGTCAAAAATTGTGTGCCAATCCATCTTGACCTCTTTATTTCAAGACATTTCTCACAATGAGTGAAAACTTTTAGATGCTAGTTAGGCTTGAGCTTAAGTAGGACGTATATTCTTTTTGGTGGAATAAAAGAATATCATACATTTTAAAATCCTCAACAGCTCCAGCCGTTGACTCACATATTAAAGCAAAGGAGAGACTAAAGCTTACCAGTGTTCTTGTACCCACCTGTGGATGAACAAAAACGTTTTGGAGTAGGTACGATTATTCCTCGTGTGGGCCTTAATTTCATTGTGCTTCAGTGGCTCCGGCCTGTCTGCTCTGCCCGCATTTTTGTTGTTGTTTGCTGAACAACTTGTTATTTCCACGAGTGCAGAGTGTTTCCTCTCTTGAGCTCTGCCCTCCTGCGGCTGCGGACGCACCTTCCGCTTCTTCTCTTCTCTGTGTTCTGTTTCTCACACAATTTGCAACCTAAGAGGTGGAAAATATTCTCATTTCAATTGACCCCCTAATAGTGGTGCTCGAGGGAAGTCGGGGCAACATCAAAGTCAGTGAGATGCATCCTCTGGGGACCACGATGAAGAGACGAGGCAGCTACGCGTCGTTAACGCCACGGGAAGTCTGACATTAGACCTGGTTAGATCAACCGTGCACGTCCTCTGCTTTAGCCGGCGAGCAAGGAGAAGCCACGGTGAGGAATGGGTGTGTGAAACAAGAGAAGATGCTTGGAGGAGAAAGAGACCGGTTATGTAACGGAGGGACTTGTTTACGTGTCCCCTCTGAGTTCACGTTAGCTGAATGGAGACACCCTGCCGTAGCGGCTGTTCTTGGCTCTGCCACATTGCATTAATATCTCTATTCATAGCGACTGGTAATTGGCCTACTTTGAGGCGAGCGCTTGTGTCCCATCTAGAATTGTACAGTAAAGAAAATGGATGGAAACTCGGTTTGGAGATTCCACTTAAGTGGTATTGAAAACAGAAATGTAGAATTAAAAAAAATGTCAGGAGACGCATTGACAAGACACTTTCAATTAGCAGATTTTGCTTGGTTTTATTCATCTTCATTAATCACTTTATTGTATTACTGCATGTGTCTGAATATATCTGAGTGGTCTTGTTTGTATTTTATTTTGAATACAATGGTCTTTCTGACTACGCTATCTTCCTCCCCAAATTGCCGTTAATTGAATAATGTCTGATTAATCTTGTAGAATTTGAACTACCCCACCTTGTATTGGGTAAGACCTCAGAAACGCTGACAAAAGCAACAAGGAAGAAAGTCGTGTGGCTTTGCAGGAGAAGGTTTGGAAGATTCATATTGCATCCACGTAATGTCCAGCAGGTCAACGTCAACCCTCCAACGAGGGTTTGCATAACATTTATGCCTTTACGGTTTTTGGCACCCAACTTACTAAATGTGTTTCAGTGACTGTAGTGTAAAGTCTACAGAGGGACTGAAGCACATTCTCTCATCACAAACATTGTCATGCATATCAAGATTGTTTTTTGTTTGAGGCAAGCAAACTGTGACATGTGTGAAATCAAATTACAGACCTGCAATGGATGCACCCTGTGTAACCCGGGGATGTTGGAGGAAGCGTCTGCCAGGTGGTCACCCTGTGGGCAGCAAATCACAATCATACTGGGCGGCTGCCAGGAGCAGAGACTGTGCCATCGCACGGCCCACCAGCACTCCAAGAGCAGCTCATGGTCACTCATCACAGACGCTCTCCACGCGTCTCCCCCTCTCCCTCTCTCTCCCTCTCCCTCTCTCTCCCTCTCCCTCTCTCTGTGCACTCGGGTCAGTAGGAAGAGAATGCAATGCACATTGTTGGCCACTTCTCTGTATAATTCATGTCCTGGTCCTAAAATAGAGTACTCAAACTGTACTGTTTCCACAGGAGCTACAAAAAATAGAATCCTGCACGTGGAATGAAAAGCAAGGTTGGAACAAATAAAAGGGGATTATCTTTGTGTTTACATTCTATGTATTTTCTGCTATATGCATTGTGTCTAATGTAATGCTGATATGTTTTACAGAATACATCTGTAGCACATCTGTCTGCCCTGGTATCTTGCAGAGGTTTTTTTTCTCCATTTCAAGGGGTTTTGTTAGGAAAGCTTCACTGAAGCGAGAGATGTTGTCACATGCTGTGCGGATTGTAAAAAACATGAAAGAAAATGTGCAAGTTGGGCAATATTGGGCTGAATAAATGAATAATTGTGACATGACATATTAGAGATGACTGTGGTTTAGGACATGTCATACGCAGTGAGCTTCGTTTCCATCACGCAGGTTTGCTGAAACGTCTCTGTGCACGACAAGACAAAATAACTGATGTTGTGGTAAACTCTCAATGGAAGGCCGACAGGAGATCTACTTGTATGTAAGACCAGACTTCCTATATACAGGACCAAATCTCAGCGTACCCTGGGGAACACATCTCTGTGCGGTTACACACCACGGCCACAGACAGCTCCGATAACAAGACAAAAAGCAGGCTATTTGTCCCGTAACTTGCCGTAACACTTGATTTGACGGCTAGATGTCTCCGTAGAATAGTAGTATTACGCAGCCAGTGTCTGGTAGGGCTGGTTTCTCCTGCTCTCCCACTCATGAGCTGTGAGTGGCAGGCCCGCTAACCGGTCATGACAGAGGAGAATCAGACTTGAGTTGAGAGAGCAATGCCCGCCCGCCACATTGGAGACCGGCATCGCGCCATGTTGCATATAACCGTCCTAAAAGTCCTAAAACCGTATTGTCCTTTAGTGCAACCTAGCTGGGCCTGTAAAACATGGAACATGAATACGTTGCAGTACGTTCATTTGTTGGAGCTAAAGAAATATCCACAGCCTCCAACCACAGGTTGTTGTTTATTCATTAAAATCAACATGTATGCATTCGCTTCATCAGTTTAAGGGGTGCTAAAACTAACCAAGAGCTCACAAAAATGCTGTCTGTGTCACTTTGATGCCACCTAAAGGTAAGAATAAACCACAATGTGGGGCGGGAACTTTCACTCCTGACTCTGCACGCCACTTGCCAGAGGTCTTCCCATCATGCTCTGGGCAGGAGGTACCGAAGCATCCCAGACAGGTGTCATTCAACAACACAGTCTGGGATTAATCGTGGGGAGAGGAAAATCTTTTTTCTTGTGCTTTATCATTCTCATGGAGCTATTATTTTCTGTCGAACAGCAGCGCATATCCCTATGATTTCAATTTTTTTACAGATAATTCAGATTGCTTGGCACACACACATAGTCTGCAACTGCCACAACAGCTAACTGGTTTGTTCTGACATGACAATGAGCATGAGCGAGCCTGGAAACAACTCAGAGAGCTTTTTCTAAAACAGGAAGGAGTAATTAGTAGATGTCATTTGGGAGGAGTGTGGCGAATTAGAAGCCCGGTGGATCATGTAATTAGGACGGCAGCCTCCTCATGGGCGGCTCAGGGAAGGACGAGAACACCACGGCGGCTTCCTTTGCTGAACACTACGAGCTGTAACAGAAAACACCATTTGACACACACACACACACACACACACACACACACACACACACACACACACAAACACTGACACAACTGCTTGGTGGACGAATACAGACATGCGGGCACAGATCACAATGTCAACCGAGGCTGGCAGAGATGCGTGACGGTTTCACATCTCTGATCAGATGTCGTAAATGTGAAAAACAACATGTGGGTACAAAAGGACTTTTTTAACGAAGAGTTGGTTTTCGAAATGCGATATTAATTTCAATTCAAATGACATTTCATGTAATATTTGGCACTATGTAACGATCCAACCTTTTCAGGTGTTTACTAGAAAAACATATTGGTCCAGCAGGTTTATTTATTCCAATTAAAATGTTGGTTTCAACATCCCATCTTTTTTTATGGGGTGAATTAGTGCTGACAATCAAAGTTATGTATAAGGAAAAACAATGGATGGACTGAAAATCTCCACGAGACACAGCAGCTGTGTTTTGTTGCACCTTGGCTCACAGACAAAAATAACGACAGTCTTTATCAGCCTCTTATATGTAACACAAGCAAATTTATTCAAAACTTGGCAGCAGTAATTCCTCAACATACGTTCAATATTGCATCAGTTTATGACTAAACAAATAATGTATCATCTCTGCCAGGACTCCGCTGACCTCCTGTACTATTATTTATTCTAAATATTTGGTTAACAGCTATCGTCAGTGACTAATTTAAGATAATAGAGGCTTGTTCAGGGAGACAGTGGCGAGCCTGCGAGGGTTTTATGGCAGAATAGATCAGACAGAGCAAACAACAGTGACGATGGAGTAATAAATGAATCTCTCTGAGAAGTAGGCAGAGTTCTGAGAGCAGCACATTAGAGCCTCGTGCCTTTTATTAAACAAATTGGGTGTTCAAGGAAGCATATTGGCTGTTTGCTCAAGCATGTTTTATAGTGCGGCTGTGTAACCATCGAGACACACAACTGTGCCAGTTCAAAGATGACATCATGGTCCAGTTCGAACAAGCTCATGCTGTGAATTCATCTCTTTTTACTTACCGTTTTTAACTAATTGAGCCATCAAACGCTGTCCCTTTGCAAACATTGGATACAGTGTGGGGCAACGGTTAAAATATATTAAAGAAATAAGATATTAAAACAAGACAACCAATCAAAATTAGTTTCTATAATCTTAAAGTGTGATTCTGTATTCTATTGAAAAGAAACCTTGTGTAACTTTACATGAGACAGTAAAGGACAATCTTAAACAGTCAGACCATGTTTTAACCTACAAACATTGAAACTAATCTTTTATTCCTGGAGGATATTAACATGAGTTCAAGAATTGTCTTCAAAGAAGCCCATTGTTGACATTGACTTGTGTGTTTATACTCACCGATGGACGAAGACCATGAAAAGCGTCTGAAAGCCTCGACTGTGCAAGTAAGTGGACGACGTACTCAATGATGAAATGTTTCTACTGAGATGCACTAGAGTGTGGCTCAACTGCACCAAAAAACGAGTCCTCTAGGTGATGGAGCAGTTTTATTGTCTTATGTAACCAACTCAGATTACCAACGCTGATGAATTACTTTGTTGGGAAGAATAAGATGAATGGCAAATCAGTGTACTTTTTATATGAGCCTGTCAAATGTCTGATTTCAGTCAAAGAGGGAAATTATCTCTTGAATATCCGCCATTCTCAATAATTGCCCTGCATCCCCGGTGCTTAATGCCGGAGGCTTGCGGGGGGGTGTGGGGGGGGACTCAACTTTTGCGGCATCTTGTTGAAGATGTTGTCCCTGTCCACGGTCCTGAAATCTGCTTTCCGAAGCACGCGTCACGTGACTTCGCCGAGCACTGCCTCGCTCAGCGCCGAGCCTCCTGCTTTCTGGAGATTTCAAAAACAGGACGAGCCCCAAATCCCATCCCCTCTCATCTTGCGTGGTTTTGACTGTTTGTTTTTTCCACCACCACCACCCCCCCCCCCCCCCCCCACCCCCCACACACACCCAAGCCCCTTTCTCCCTCCCCCCCTTTTCTGTCTATCTGTCGGTCAATGTGGACCTTCAAAGCGCTCGGAGTATGACAAAAGATTTCAGGATGCTGGATTTGCGCCGCTCGTTTCCTCTCTTTGCACTTAAATGCCAACGCGGCGAATGCGTCGGACGGGGAGGACAAGCCTGCTGCTAGTGCTCCGCGTTTCACAAAGTCAACATCTCGTTTTTTTCTCCCTGGAGCGACTCCAGAAGGATGTAAGAGCCGATCCACCTCGCGCAGCCGAAGTCTCCTCGTCAAGATGCAGAAGGGAATACGACTTAACGATGGTCATGTCACCTACCTGGGGCTTTTGGCGAAAAAGGATGGTACGAGACGAGGGTGCTTGAGCAAAAAGAGCTCAGACAACACGAAATGGCACACAAAGTGGTTTGCTTTGTTACAAAATATGCTCTTTTATTTTGAGAACGAGTCCAGTTCTCGACCCTCGGGATTATACCTGTTGGAGGGATGCATGTGCGACAGGGCGCCTTCACCGAAACCCTCGCAGTCCGCCAAGGAGTGTTTGGAAAAGCAGGTACGGAGAGCGTGCACACGCCTACGCGCACGCACGCGCTTGCCAAACGCACATGCACACACACACACACACACCCTCTCTCTCTTTCTCTCTCTCGCTCTCTCGCTGCTCTTTTTTTCAGGCTTAGTGTTAAAAATATCGACGAGGTGCAACATTGGAGGTGGAATTTGCTGCTTCGCTGCAAACGCCTTTGAACTATTTAGTCGCTTTTCTAATGCGTGTATTCATTCATTCATTCATATCCAATTGCACGATGACCTCAAATCCAGCGCAGCCGAATTGCACGAGGTTCCAGACTGCTGTATTGCACGTTATGTAATCCACGCATGGCATTAATGGTGAGGTAACAATATGAACACCTAATGATATTAGCAGCCCTGGCACTGCGCTGCGCAGTGTTTGGCTTCAGATTGCAGAAAACACTTGCTCCTTTTTTTTTAAATAATTGGAGTGATAGTTTTTAGTGATGCATGATGTGTAAATTGTTTGGCTTAAGATCTGATGCATTCTCACCCCGGTTTGTTAAACATTTTGCTTTCATTTATTTTATTTTCATTGATTATAGTTTCGAGGGTTCAGGGCGGAGAACGATATTTACCTAATACTCATTTTAACAAAACGAGGTGAAAAAGTTGTTGCTTCAAGGTTTCCATCTCGTGGAGAAATGATGGAGTTACAGGTTAAAGTGAAGAAACTGCAGGGGGGGCTATGATCAGACAGCTCTCATCTAGATGACCTGTGTTAATTTCTTTTTTTGCAACATTGTTTTGTCTGTGCTTTTAAGAAATTACTACAAACAAGGCACTCCATTTTAAAATATGCCATCTGGCTGTTACTTACATCTGTAAAAAAAAATGAAAGGGAGAAATAGAAAGGTTGACTGGTGTGTTGACACTTTTATAGTGAATAAACAGGCTTCACTGGCACGGCCCTCCTCTTTCCAGGCTCTGTGCCTGACTCTGTCTGTGGGGCTTCCATCCAAAGTGAGCCCAGGCTCTTCCTGTGAACAGCTGCCTTTGTGCTGATGAAGCAGAATACAACACACTGCTAATGTTGTGCTATCACAGTTGCTTCAAAGTCACCCAAAAAAAGAAAAGGTCTTTTTTTTCAACAATCCTGTTTCCTCCGCATTGCCCTATTTTAGATAAATGAAACATTCTGCAAAAGGCCTGATGGGCAGAATGTGTGATACATTTGTCATAGGACGCATGATTCACTTTGTTCTGGGAATCCTGAATCCTGTTAAAGTGCACGATGACAAATGTGACATGCTGCTGCTGAGTTACCTCTCAATGTAAACAAACAAATATTCTTTACAAGGATAAATAAGAGAAGGAAAATATCTTGTCTATCTCCTATTCCCTCCTGGATTAAGTTTTTTTTTTGCAAACGTTTTAGCAATCCGTCATAATCCCTGAATTATATTTATCCTCAATTGCGTTTAGTGTGAACGTGATAATGCATTTGAGCCCGATGTTTCTATGGCAACCCTTATTTGCATCCTAAAGAATGAAGAGGAAGAGGGGAACAGATGAGAGGTGTAGTGTGTCTCATTTCTCCTATGTGCGCACAATCCAAGCTAAATTTATTCCTTGCTGTACCTCCGAGGGGTCAGTGTCCATTTATGGAAAAAACACTTCTCGCTCACACTGTGGAAATAGCAGCACTTCAACCAATAAAACAAGAAACTATGGGAGCAAGAAATGGCTGATTTGCTTCAAAATCTACTGCAAATCAAAAGCATGATATTCTGGTTCTTTGATGAAAATAAAGTTCCTTAATTCAAATAAAAATGGATGCATGTAGAGGGAATTCACTACTCCATAGATCTTGTTGTGTATCAACCTTTTACAGTATTGTAGCACTACATGAGTCAGAAAGCAATAACAGAGAAAAAGACTAAATGTTCAAGAATAATTTGCTCACAGCCCAACAAAACGGATATGTGATTGTTACCCCTATAACTGTAATACTAATGTATTTACATTGTAGATTTTACCAATGCTTTATCAATGTCATGTATGTCTGTTTAGATGAGTAATGATGTTTAAAGGTGCCTGACTCAGCCATAAACATTAAGCAGGAAGCAGACAGTGTATTGAACATTGCTTCACACCAGATCCTAAAGAGATCATGAGGTTAACTACAACAACATGCATGCCTCTTCTCCGGAAATAGATTTTCATAGTACGATGAATACATAATGAATGTGACGATGGAAGAGCAGTCAGTCATGAGTAATGATCCGTTGCAGGTTGATAGGCGCCTGTTGAGCATCTGCAGGCCAAAGATCAGAGCACGGTCTTGCTCGGCACGGTTTGAACGGTCCACAGAAAGATGACGGATGAGTTATGCTATTGTTTAATCACGACCCGCTTTCTCAGGCTGTCCTTCCGTTTTAAACAACGGTATGCCATATGGAGCCTAATCCTATGGTAAATCAAGCAAAATTAGTTTTATTAGCAAAATGTTATGTTAAAAATATGAAAACCCCAAAAGTTAACACTATTATTGACATGAAGAATATTGTTATTGATAATAATAATATTATTATAATACTGTTGTACTACTACTAGTACTACTATAACTAATAACACAATAATAATGCCTTATATTCCGTTGAGCTTCAGTTGCTAGGAAACAGGTGTCGCACAGTTATGTAATCGGCTGTGGCTCCATCTTCCATGTCTTGTGGCATTTCCTCCTGTGAGCCAGAGACATCCCAGGAAGCGAGCTGTGGGAGGCTTCCCTCAGTGTCGCCCATCAAGTGCACTGGTGGGCGAGGAAGATCTGGCTTCCCCGGGCCCTGCGTGGTTTTAAATCATCCGTTTAATATCGGCGGTAGAGAGGCAGTGCAACAAACACAGAGGCAGTGGAGAAGCTTCAAGCTAAGCCATTCTATTGTATATTTATTTAGAGGGTATGCAATGATGCACGCTCCTTTCTTTGCAGAGCATATAGCATGTCACATTAATCATGGTCCTGTTGTTTAACAAGAACCCTGCCCCCTTGTCTGTTTCAGTACTATTTCACTGTCAGCTTCACACATGAAAATCAAAAGGCGCTCGAATTACGCACTGAAGATGTGAAGGACTGCGATGAATGGGTGGCTGCAATATCACACGCCAGGTAAAAGCATCGCATCGGTGCAACGTGCAGACATGGCAAATAGATGTTGAATTAGTCAGTATAGAGTAAGTCCTCTTGGACGCTGAGTCCGTAGAGGATGTTGCCATGGTTTCATAAGTAGGGTTAAAATATGAGGAATGACAGGAATAAGCTTCGTTCATAAAATAAAAACCTGATTGCCTTGATGTGAGATGAAATACATTGATGTGAAATTAAATCAATTATTCAGGCTTAAACAAAAAAAAATGTGTCTGTGTATGTTTGTGTGTGTGTGTGTGTGTGTGTGTGTGTGTGTGTGTTACAGTTACAGAAACTTGGCCAACGAGCATGAGACTCTCATGCAGAAGTATCTTCATCTGCTTCAGATTGTGGAGACGGAGAAAACAGTTGCTAAGCAACTTCGACAACAGATAGAAGATGGGGAAATAGAGATTGAGAGGCTAAAGTCAGAGGTAACACTCAATGTTATGAGCTGACGCTGAGGAGTAGGCATGTAAACAAATATGAATATATTATTCACATTATAAGAGAAACAGAAAGCATACAAATGTTGCTGTCATATAGAACCACCTGTCCTTTGCGAAATTAAGCAGTTTTCCAGCTCCTCATTTTAGAGTCTTACCAGAATAGGATGTAAACACAAGTTGCTACAATCAGTCGAGTTCAGTCTTGACAACAAGAACAGGATGACGGATGCCGATTGAGGATGAACGTCCAATAATCTGTATGCCAATGAAACGCAATTGTAGCTGTCTTTAAAGCAGTTAAATTCTATATATATATATATATATATATATAGAAAGAGAGAGAGATATTGATGTTTTACTGTTAAATATCCAGGATGTCTTTTCCTTTCTCATCATTATAGAAAATGGTAACAGGTTTTCTTCCTATTTATAAATGTCTGGCAGACACAAACCATCAATCAAAAATATGAACAATATCAATAGACCCGCTGAATTGGCTCTTACATCCCACACTTGTTCCTTTCCCCAAAATGTATTATTGTCCCATCCCCTCTACTCAGCTAAAAAAAAGCAAGCGGGGAAATGATGGATTATTGCTGATCATTGCTGTGTTTGAGAGACATATTCAGGCCAACCACAGTCCACTTTGCATCTCCTCTCAGAAACAATGCCTTCAATAAGGCTGTGTTCTTCAGATCAAATGGACATTTCACTTTAATGTGCAAATGTAGTGCTTGAAATCAAATGATTTGCTGAATATGCATGAACACAGCTTTTTATTGCATCACTTCTATTAAATGCAATGACGATTAACTCTCGCGCCTTCTACAAAGTAAGTGGAGACACTCAGCTTCAAACAGTTCAAGGCAGCTCCAGTCCGTCTCCTCTTCTTAGTCATCAGTCTGTTTACCTTTTATCAGCATGCAGAACCATATTGCATTTAAATGAACAATGTAAACAAATGTTGATCCAGCAGTACCGGGCAAGTGATCACAACTAGATCAGTCAATTTCTCAGTGCAGACAGCGTTGACAGCTGCTGGTGACTCAGTCACTTTGTGTACATGCTGGTACAGTAAGTGAGAAGAAGAAAGCGTGTGAGTGGAAATGACTGGTCTTTTTTGTGGTGGCCTCCTTGGCAGATCTCTGGGCTGCTCAAGGACAATGAAAAGATTCACGACAGCCCTGCAGCCGCCCCCACCGACGAGGACTCAGAAATCAAGAAAATCAAAAAAGTAAAGCACATGATTGAAACCTGTGGCTACATTTTTAGAGTATCTTTGGATATCTGGGAAATTAACTACAGCCTTCAAAACTCCAGGTCCAGAGCTTCCTGCGAGGCTGGATCTGCAGGAGGAAGTGGAAGACAATCATCCAGGATTACATCCGCTCGCCACACGCAGAGAGCATGAGGAAGAGGAACCAGGTGGTGTTCAGCATGTTGGACTCGGAGGCAGAGTACGTGCAGCAGCTTCACATCCTCGTGAACAACTTCTTGAGGCCCCTGCGCATGGCAGCCAGCTCCAAGAAACCGCCCATCACCCACGATGATGTCAGCAGCATATTCCTCAACAGGTTGGATCCTCTCGTGCCACAAAGAACTTCATTCATTTTTGTATAAAATGTTCCCTTAAAAGGTACCCGGTGGAGTTTTTTTGTGGTTTATATACAGGTAGAGGTAGAGATAAGGGCAATTTAACTGTGGTTGGATTTAAGTTGTTAAAGTTTTTTTTAAGCATTATTCTACTGATTGACAATTTGCAACCGGAACGGGTCAAGAAAAGATAAACTGCTTGCTGGCAAACTTATCTAAATAAAAAACAGCTTTGGAAATACTTCTTACTTAAAAGGAAGACTTTTGTCCACAGACACCAACAAAATTCGACAGAAAGTTACGTGTAGTGTCCTAGCTTTGATATGCATAATGTCTGTGAAGAAAGATATGAAGACATTGATAAATAATAAAGAAATATATTTTCCCAACATGTAACCTGAAGTCCTCCCAGCACATCGGTGCTCAAAGCCTGAGAACTCATGTTCTGGGTGTCAGGGCTTTTCTTTTCTACAACTTCGCCGGGTGTTGGCAGACTGAATAACACAAACTCTGTATTTGTTTTTAGAAGAGAATCATTTTTTTCTTTCTTCTTTTTCAGTGAAACGATCATGTTTCTACATCAGATCTTTTACCAGGGTCTGAAAGCCAGAATAGCGAGCTGGCCAACATTAGTGCTGGGTAAGAACTGTGTCATTTTCAGGGTTTTTAAAACATCATTAAAAGTGATGAGGAGAGACTCCGTATTACAGTATCTTGGTATTGATCTCTCGCTAGCTGACCTGTTTGACATCCTGCTGCCAATGCTGAACATCTACCAAGAGTTTGTGAGGAACCACCAGTACAGCCTGCAGATCCTGGCTCACTGCAAGCAGAACCGAGACTTCGACAAGCTGCTGAAGCAGTACGAGGCCAAGCCCGACTGCGAGGAGAGGACCCTGGAGACTTTCCTCACCTACCCCATGTTCCAGGTGAGCTCACTGGTCGTACTGATGTTATACACAATAAATAAAGGCAAGGCCCATTAGTCCGGAGACAGATTTTGTCATTAATGCTGAGCTCTCACAGCCACTCCGGGCCAAGTTCTTCTCTCCATTGAGAAATGTTTCCCGTGAGCTATATAATTCAACAGCTTAACACCAGTTGGCTAAAGCTTTGCCAATGAAACCCAGTTGTAGCTGTCTGTAAAGCAGTTGCCCTCAAAGACCTGCTTCCTTCCTGAGCACTTATCGGCTCCCTGAATGAAATCCCATGTTGTAGCATCTCTGATTAAGGACAGAAACTGCAGATATTTGTGTGCTTTCGCTCAGAATGTCCCTGTAGTGTCTTGGTGCCTATAAAAAGCAGCGTTTTTGGGGATCTCAGGCTTCCACAATGTCTCCTTTCTGGCATGCACGCAGTTTCCCGACAGTCCTCTCAGCTGGGGGCCTTCTGCAGGCCGTGCTGTGTTGATAACACATTTTGCTGACGAGTTTAAATTGTGCTCTCCACTGATCTACTTCTCATTAGAGTACATACACGCCAGCACTTGTGTATCCCTTTGTGTGCATCGTTGTTGTTGTTGTTACATTTATGGATGCACGTAAGCTCTAATATTTGAGTGAGACTCTGCTGCTATCTTGTTGTCTTCTGCTATTCTGTCTCTTTAGATTCCCCGATACATTCTTACACTCCACGAACTTCTGGCCCACACACCACATGAACATGTGGAGAGAACCAGTCTGGACTACGCCAAATCCAAGCTGGAGGAGCTTTCCAGGTACTTTTGTGGATTGAAAGTCTATATTCTAATATTACGATTTAATGTCATTGGTATATTAACAAAACATCAAAACATTTTTAAGGGAATATCAAGTAAATGTTGAGTAAACTATTCGTCTTTGACCCATAATAACATGCTGAGGTCGTACCATTGAACCATGCGAAGCGCACATGTACAAAAACACATATCTAAAGGTGACCCAGATTATTCATTAGTCAGTGGACATTCACATTAAAACGTCTTGTGTTCCTTGCATTCTTGTGTCATTCTTTCCCCTAATGCGTCCTACTGGATCACGTACTGTCCTATCTCTGTTGATAGAATCATGCACGACGAAGTAAGCGAGACCGAGAACATCAGGAAGAACCTGGCAATAGAGCGCATGATCGTAGAGGGCTGCGAGATTCTCCTCGACACCAGTCAGACGTTTGTAAGACAAGGTAGGAGCTTCCTTCCAGTGCGTTTTTTATTTTTTCAGATCCCAGCGAAGAAACCTCCAATTCTACAGAAAAGCAGATTTGCAGCAGAATGATTTCCTGTCCTCCCTTACCTTTCCGACAGCCTGATCTCAAATGTTTAGGCCTGTATCGAGCGGCACATTGCTCTCTGGGGAGCAATGTGTACACGGCGTGAGGATTTCAAAGTGAAATTAGACTGTTCAGAGGCAAACTGATGATGAATCTGGGACTGTAAATGTCACAGATCCCCAGCAGGCCTTGATGGGAAGAATAGATGGTAGGCAGATATGGTAGATTATCTAATCCTTAGCATCTCATGTGACTCTTGTACTCATGTATTTATATGTAGAGGAGGGCAAGACAATTTGACATTGCTTATTTCGTTTTTTTCAGTTTCTCCACCCCCCCACAGTTTTTTACTCCTTTCTGCTTTCTTTTCAAATCCCTGATATGCTTGCACTTTTTTTCCACTTAAATATTTGTATTGCTCTTTCTTTCTTCCCCTTTTATAACACTTTTTTTTATCCCCACATACAGGGTCTCTCATCCAGGTGCCGATGAGCGAGAAGGGCAAGATCACCCGTGGGCGACTGGGCTCTCTGTCTTTGAAGAAGGAGGGGGAGAGGCAGTGCTTTCTCTTCTCCAAGCATTTAATCATCTGCACCAGGGGTTCTGGTGGAAAGCTTCACCTCACCAAGGTGAGCCAGTGCTGCTGAGCTAGCAGTGGAGCTGCTACTCCTTATATCAGACATCACGTCTTACACCACTGCAAAGAGAAAAAAAAACGGGAACTCTCGGCTAACTTGATGATGGATGAACTGACAGAAGATGAAAGCTACAGGAATGGCGACGTCACAGCAGATTGATGTCAGTATTACTCAGTATTACAAAAGACAATTAATTGGACTTTAACATGACACCAAAAAGCTTGCGTCCATATTACAGTGAAACTAAGGTATTCTTGTGGGATGTTTTCAACCAGATTGCTTATTAATGCGTTAAGCAATGAAACATCATCATTCATTTGCATTCTTAATTCTGTGAGTCTGATTGAAGAAGGAAGAAGAAACTGAAACTAAAAAAACATCTGTAGAGTTGAGGGAAGCTGCAGATTCCAGCGATCATCATGAAAATCTTGATTATGGAACTATAATATTTTCATATGATACTGTTTAATTATTATTGTCGGGGTCAGTAGTAGAATCAAGTTCATGCAAACCGAAGGGATTCACCGGAAATAATAATAATAATCAATCAATCAATCAATGAATAATCTCTTTCTCAATCATTCAGTCAGGGGTCAACTGACTGATGAACCATATTCATTTTGTAGTCTGAATCAGGATCTTAGGAATGTTGGTTGGATGAAACAAAATGCATGTATTGTATATTGCTTTCAGAATGGAGTCGTCTCGCTCATAGACTGCACTCTACTGGAGGACCCCGAGGGGACAGACGATGAGAGTGAGTGCTCGATTCAGCTTGCAGAGACATGCATGGATACATGTATCATGTGTGCTAATGCACATAACGTATTTTCATTTTATAATTCATATTTGGGAGAATTGAAAAAGTGTTTCAGAAGCAGGCAGTGCCACTAGAAAGGAATTCAGACTCTAAACAAACAAATAAATAAATATCAGATGGTGAATGATGTATCCTATTTTTATCCAATTTTGACATTTGGCTTGGTCTAATTTTAGTTTCTTGTACAGTATAAAACCCTTCAATGTATGCCTTTTGTATGTCTTTACTGTAGTATTCGTCATGTGAAAATGACATCCAGTCTTTGTGTTTGCCTCAAAGCCAAATCCGACAAGAGCGGCCAGGACATGGAGCACCTGGACTTCAAGATTGTCGTGGAGCCAAAGGATAGCCAGTCATTCACGGTCATCCTGGTGGCCTCCTCCAGGCAGGAGAAGTCTGCGTGGACCAGTGACATCAGCCAGGCACGTCAACACGCATCACAGTCTCCAGCACTGGGACGGATGTCGGCGGGAAGCCCGCGCGTTACAGCGGCCACTAACATTTCCTCTGTCCTCTCTGTCTACTTCTACCGCGTCCGTCTCACAGTGCATAGACAACATCCGCTGCAATGGGCTGATGATGAACGCCTTTGAAGACAACTCCAAAGTCACAGTGCCGCAGATGATCAAGTGGGCCTCGTTCATATTTACAGTGTATGCATCGGTTTGCAGCTTTTTGTTTTTCTTCCCGGGACACTCATTTCCAATTTCGTTCAATTTCCTGACCAGATCCGATTCAAGTCTGTACTGCGACGACGTGGACATTCGCTTCAGCAAGATGATGAACTCCTGCAAGGTGCTGCAGATCCGCTACGCCAGCGTTGAGCGCCTGCTGGAGAGACTGACTGACCTCCGTTTCCTCTCCATCGACTTCCTCAACACCTTCCTACACTCCTATCGCGTGTTCACCACCGCTGATGTGGTGCTAGACAAACTCATCACCATCTACAAGAAGCCCATCAGTGCCATCCCTGCTCGGTGAGTCGAGTTACATGCGGAAGGGTTTGAATGTTGGGAGGCTGTTGACGGCAGTAACAGTAGAGAGACCTTATTAGATTTGTCTGTCATCCCCCCAGACTTTATGTTGCTGATCTAAATGATCAGTGATCCTCACATCAATGCAAGTAATGTGGCAAGAGGCAAGAGAAGAGATTTCAAGCAATACAACTGTTTGTCCTTCTGTTCTCATCAGGAATGTATTTATTTTATTTACATATGCTGAAGGTTAGTTTCACCTGAGGAACTCTCACAAACAGCATAACACAAGAATACATCAGAAACTTTGAGATGTTAAAGGCTGAGAAAGATGACTTGAGGAAAGTTGCATCAATATGAATAATACATTTTTAAATGGAGACATGATGGATGACCATGCGCTGGCTGTGGTGTTTGGTGTGTGATAGATAGATAAACAAATCATTTAGTGTCCAGTTCTTGCCAGTCCTACCAAAGAGATACATTTACATTTAGGATTGTTCGGAGGGCGAAAAGTGAGTCCGGTGCTCAGAGATATTTGTTGTATGCATTCCATGTGAGAGAGTTCATGTAAATGAACTAATGTATATGGCACTGGAACAGTGAAGTCCAGGAATCTTTAAAGCCTTGTTTCAGCATTTTGGGTATTTGTTTTGATGGTTAATGTGACCACAGAAAGGCATCAGATGGAGCACTAGATAAAGACACACTCTCGGATGCTTCGGTATCCCCGTTTTTGTGTGTTTTATGTGTGTGTGTCCAGTGATCAAAGGCCATAATTGGGCCCAGTCTCTCCTGCCTGCCTGGGAGCATCACACTGGGCTCTGTCGCTCTATGGCAACCGACCTCGACTGCTGCAGGACCCCACCCTCCCCTGCTCCGTCTCCTCCGTCTGCAAAGATCCACAGTGTGAAATATTGACAAAGTGTTGCAGGGAGGCTAACTCGCCGCTCCGCAAGCCTGGAGCGAAGGACCTCACTGTGGGGTTCATATCACAGGGAGCTCCACATGCCCACGCCCCGTAGCATGCGCTCCCGCGGCGCTTGTCATGTCACTGTGAGACACCTACACTTGGCTGCTTGTGTCAGCAGCGGTCATGCGCACTATCACTCTGTGTGCTATTTATGGGAACCTGTGAGGTCGCCAGGAGGGTGGCAGGGAGAGGTTTTCTGCAACACTGCAGCTTGTATCCTGCTGTAAAACAACGAGATCCAAAGAGACTTCTGGTTACCGGGATGACTTGGGTTGCATAAATTATTTAATGACTTTAGCCATGCTTTTATCACAGAAAATGAGAAAGAAAAATATTTCAATGTCCTGAATTCAAAAGCATATTTCCTTTCCTCGCTGCAGGTCCCTGGAGTTATTCTTTGCCAGCAGTCAGAACAGTAAACTGTTGTACGGAGAACCTCCCAGCTCCCCCAGAGCCAGCAGAAAGTTCTCCTCCCCACCTCCTCTTGCTATCACCAAGAACTCATCCCCCAACCGCCGGCGCAAGCTCTCCCTCAACATCCCCATCATCACTGGGGGCAAAGCGCTTGATCTGGCTGCTCTCAGCTGCTCCTCAAATGGCTATGCAAGCATGTACTCAACCATGTCTCCATTCAGCAAGACCACCTTGGACATCAACAAGCTTTACGTGTCCAGTTCCATCTCGAGCAAAATCACTGACGAGGGAGAGGACAAGAAGGACAAAGTGGAGGATCCGTCAGTGACCAAGCAAGGTGAGTGAACAGGAGCCATCACCAAAGTATTCCAATTTTGATTTCAAGGAATTAGGCTTTCATTGATGATTTCACTTTGATGCAGATCTCTCCGTACGCGAAGAAACTGACAATGATCCCAACCAGAGTGATGAAGGGGACCAGGAAGCCTCTCCCACCAAATCCCCAACCACGCCAAAAAACATCAAATGCAAGAACCCTGCAGGTACATTGTGTCCTAAACTGGAACAGTGATATAGTGACGACGCTGTGCGCCAACATGCTACAAATCCAATGTACCAGTTCAATTAACCTTAAGCCAGTTTATTATTCGTTTTCTGTGACCGAAGAAGCAGACTAAATTTAAAGACATGGCAAACCGTTTCATTTGTATTCATGTAAGGTCTGTAAAATGGCCACAATTTATAGTCAACAGGTTGTGCAATGGTTTGTTTTGTATGGAAATTGATGCTCTCACTTTGCAATAGTTAATTGAATCCTAATTTATATGCAAAAACAAACAGAAAAACAACCGTCAATTCAATATTGAATACAAACTAATTCATGGTGATGGTCACGTGGGGAAAGCCAATGCTTGCCGTCTGTAGGTGTGACGGAAACTTGTGTCATAGCAACTACATAAAGAGCGTGTTTTCCCTTCCGCCCCCACTAATGAGGCTGATTCACAGGAGCCAAGATTATCTCTGCCTTCTAAATCTCATGACAAAATCACACAATGGAGTTTAAAGGAATCAATAATGTGGAGTAAAGAATTAACTGAAATCGTGAAGCAGCGAGTGCTTAGCTGCTTATAATCAATCTATGTTCCCGGGATTTAAACATAGCAGACTGCAGAGAATCTGCGGATTCTTCTGTTATGCTGATATTCGGTGGCTATATTTAGCTGCAACCATCTTGAATATCAAAGCCTGTTGTAAAGGAGAGTCTGGGGGGGAAACTCTAACGTGGGCTCATAGTGCCTCCTAGTGGATGTTTTCACAACAAGAAGGAGGTCATTCTGCAGACAGTAAAGATTGAGTTGAACTCAGTGATACAAGCAATGAACTAACAAAACTTTTCAGTAAAGGTGATGTCCTTTGCTCCTTTGCTTACCAGCAAAATCAAACTGTTTTCTCTTTTCCTTTTTATTTTTATTTGGACCTTCGGGTAGAATTCTCCCTTTTTTCCTACAACAATGGCATGGTGATGTCCTCCTGTCGAGAGCTGGATAACAACCGCAGCGCCGTGTCTGCCACCTCGGCCTTCGCTATCGCTACGGCTGGAGCCAATGAGGGCACACCGACCAAGGAGAAGTATCGCCGGATGTCCCTCGCCAGTACTGGTACAAGCATCTATTCACTGTTCCATTAGTTTCAGCCACAGGTGAACACATTGGTTACGTTAAAACCACGCCAGCTCAACTGATGTTAGATTTATGGGACGCGTTGATGCTCTTTGCTGCCAAAGTTGTAATGTATCCCATGGATGAGAGCTTGATGCAGTCACATGTTTTCTGCAGGCTTCCCAACAGATCAGAGGAATGGAGACAAAGAATTTGTGATCAGACGAGCAGCGACCAACAGAGTCCTGAATGTTCTGAGGCACTGGGTGTCCAAACACTCTCCGGTAAGCATGTCCAATACATTTCAAGGCCCAATTACAGCCCCAGGTCTTGTTGGAAAACTACTATAGTCTATAAATGCATATGCTGACTTTCTCTTTTCAAATTGAATCTGTAAGTAAGCTTTTGTAGCAGTTAAACACACATTTCTGCTAAATGTTTGTATTTCTGTTTGTCCGTGTTTCTGCAAAGAACCCAATACATTTTGGGTTCAATATCAAACTTGATTTCCAACTGCCAATCAGTCCCAAAACAATAATGTGATAAGAAATAAAATGCAAACACATGTCCCAGGACACCTTTGGCCACCCCAAAGCCAGTTGCTGGATGTATCGTATCCATGTGCATCACATGATTTGTCAAAATGCTTTATGCAAAACTACTTTTCATCACATAATACAATTCACACAGATGCTTTTCTTTGTGGACTGTTTTTCAACAATCGATAAAGTGGTTGAAGAGAAAACCAAAGAACAATTGGTTTCATAAATGCAATCTAAAAAGCAGAGAACATCACAAGTCGGGGATTAATGATGAAATATTTTTTATACCACATGTATGTTTGCCGTCTGTTGCTTCTGCAGGACTTTGATAACAACAATGAGCTGAAGACAAAGGTAATTGTCTTCCTGGAGGAGGTGATGCATGACCCTGAGCTGTTGACCCAGGAGAGGAAAGCAGCTGCCAACATCATCAGGTACCGTGTTGTGCTGTTTGATTGTCAGAATATTTTGTACACTTAAAATTTGAAAGAACTATATTGTAGAATTACATTGACCTCTTTTTTCAGAACTCTAACTCAGGAAGACCACGGTGACAATCAGATCACCCTTGCAGACGTTACACAGGCGGTGAGTTAAGACCGCTTTTAATAAAGGTTTAGTGTGCTGGTTTTAAAACTACTGAGAAACAAAATCTTAAAAAATTAAATTTAAAATAAAGCACAAATATATGCACATCTGTACAAGTCAACCAGAAGCATGCACATTACAGCTGCTTATTTTCCTCTATGTTCTCTTCTCGGATGGCCAAGAAATATTCTCCTTTGCGAGGCTGAATAAAGAATATCTGTCCTTAGAAAATTGCATGATTGATTCCTTACATTACTGCAGATTAAATTTCCATCAGTAAAATAATCAAATTCATCGACAAGTAGTTTGAGCTCTAATCCACATCATCTGAAAATTACATTTGCACACTTGAAAGGAAATTTTCGAGGTCTAATTTGGACATTTATCTAAAGAAGGTCCAGCCATTGACCCAGGGCCAGCGTGCGTGGGGCAGCAGGCCTAAAATGTTCCTCTAACCACCAGGCAAGCCAAAATCAATAACCTCTCTGGCAAATTCTACTTTAGGCCCTTTTACGTCTTGGACGTGCCCAGAAACCTCTCAGGCAGATTTCCGACAGCTATTCAAGGCTCATGACCAAGGGCGGAACCACGCATCCTTTGAGGGGGTCGTGTGTCCCCCAATATTGAAAAAAGCCATTATAGCGAAGAATGAAATACACTGAACCGTTGCCCAGTCTGAAGAAAACACTCCAGAGTATTGTTGTGTTCTGACTCTCATGTATGTACTAAATGTCCTCAAGTTGCTTGTTACCGATTTGATTGTTTTCGGGGCGTTTTGTTTCTCTTAGATGGGTGAAGGGAAGGTCGAGCAGTTTGAGAGTCACTCTGCGTTGGAGATCGCAGAACAACTCACTCTGCTGGATCACCTGGTGTTTAAGGTCATCCCATACGAGTGAGTGCCATCACATCTTTGCTCTACACGTCTGTGGTCAAGAACAACGCTGGGAACCGATCCAGTGTTCAAATACAACTGTTCACTCTGTTCAAAGGGAATTTTTTGGACAAGGTTGGATGAAGAATGACAAAAACGAGAAGACACCGTACATCATGAGAACAACGAAGCACTTCAATGATGTATGTTCTAATCAGTACCTTACACTCCTCCTGTGTTAGTGATCGTCAAATGGTAATATTAAGTATTTGTTTCCTTCTTTCCTCTGCAAGATAAGCAACCTTATTGCCACGGAGATCCTGCGCTGCGATGACGTGGTCCCTCGGGTGTTCGTCATAGAGAAATGGGTGGCTGTAGCAGACATCTGCCGCTGTCTCCACAACTACAACGCCGTGCTGGAGATCACCTCCTCCCTCAACCGCAGCTCTGTCTTCCGTCTCAAGAAGACCTGGCTCAAGGTTTCCAAGCAGGTGTGTATCACCTCCAGTGCGGTTTGTCCAGGTCTGTGTTTTTTTTCCATCATTGACTGTCATCTCGATATCCCTTTCTGCAAGACAAAAGCATTGATTGACAAGCTGCAGAAGCTGGTGTCGTCAGAAGGGAGGTTCAAAAACCTGAGAGAGGCTTTGAAGAAGTGAGTTCAGCTCAAGAACATAGTTTTGTAGTTTGATCAATGAAGCAAGCTTGCGGTACAACTGGGTGATGTGTGCATTTCTTCCCCCACCAGTTGTGATCCTCCCTGTGTTCCCTATCTGGGGATGTACCTCACAGACCTGGCTTTCATTGAGGAGGGAACGCCCAACTACACTGAAGACAGATTGGTCAACTTCTCAAAGATGAGAATGGTGAGATATTCGGTGACCCGACGCATGGCAGAGTTTGTACAGTCGTGTCTTTTAGTGGTGTGTCTTAACATCCTGCCGCTAATGTTTTGTTTTTCAGATTTCTCACATCATCAGAGAAATCAGGCAGTTTCAGCAAACCGCGTACAAAATTGACCTGCAACCAAAGGTAAATAAATACCAGAACTGTTGACGGTCCTTCAGGCTCGTGGCACTTTAATAAATGCTGTACCAAATGCAGAGCTTCTCTTATGAGCACAGGGGAACTTAAGGTTCTTTTCAAGAGCTCACCACAGATATCTGCTCCTCGGGCACTCGGAAGCAGAACAAGGAGGAGAAATAGAGTCAACAGAGCAAAATCCCAAATTAGCCTGAGGGAGTTTGACAATATATTTATCTTATAACAGCCTCCATCCTCAATGCCTAGACACTCGTTTGTTTTATTAAATGCCTTGATTTCATCAAACACAACCTCAAAGAGTCATCAATCTATGCGTCTTAGTTTTTACAACGTTTTTTTATAAAATGATTTTGTATTACATAAATATCGTTTTTAATGAATTTCCATCCTATTGACAGTAATGTGTTGTAGCCACTTGGTGGTGGTGCTGACGTCCTGACCAAATTATGCAGAAACTACCCTGATTGCGAGACTTAAGATTTTTTTTAAACAATATATACAACATAAATTGGATGTCTTTTTCTTACATTTCTGTCATTTCGTTTACTGTGGGAACATTCAGGATACTGTATGTGGATAGTTTTCCTCTTCCTCTCCCCTCTGTAAACGATTACGATCATGAGATGATCTTGTCAGAATCTTTACAAATGATAGACAAATGGTACTGATTATGATACTCATACTCATTGCCTTATTTAAAGGGGTCATAAAGCAAACTTTTGGAAACAGCTTACATAGATAATGAATGATTTATTGCTGCCATACCTATTTCGTGTTGATGGAAAAGTGTGAAAATCCATTTTAACGAGATAAAATTTCTCAAACTTGCTTTTGTTTTATCTTTTATCTTCCAGGTAGCCCAGTATCTACTGGATAACAGCTTTGTTCTGGATGAAGAAAGCATGTACGAAGCCTCTCTCAGAATTGAGCCTAAAGTGCCCAACTGAAGTTGGTTATCCACATTATTTCCTCTGTTAATATTACACATAAGTTAAGAAACACATTGACTTTTGTATAGTTGTACATGTTTAAGATATCTGATCTTCTGTACAGTATGTGTTTAAGGTATATTTTTCGTTTATTACTGTTGCCATGACGCAAACTGGTTTAAGGTTTATTTTTTTTCTTACATTTGGGGTATTTCAAGCATAATAACAGAGGTCCCTTTGCCTGCACGTAACTGTGTCTTCTTAGTGACCAATGACATTATTTTGCATTATCTCATACTGTGTTGACTTTGCACTTTCTGAGCACCCGTTGGCCGTTGTTCTCTTTGCCTGAGGTGCATCGATGACTGAGTTTCTCTGCAACCAATGTAGCATTGTAAAAATGTAACGGCGTCATATCAGGTAAAAGACCACACAGAGTATAACTGGATATAAACATACAAAACAATGATCAGTGAGGCACCAAAAGCAAAACTGTCTCTATGATTCCAAAAACAAGAGGGATTTATGTTTTAATGTATGTTCTCTACTCCAAAGTCAGATGTTCCTAAGTGTATTTTTTTCCTCTAACAGTATCCTTGTGGACTGGCCCAATGAGAAAGACCGGATCTAACCTAGGGAACATAAAACTTCAGAAATACTATAACAAAACTCACATAATCTTTTCTGATTTTTCAATCATTTGATAATTCAGTACTGGAGCAATTTAGATTTAAATTTAAATTGAGGGGATCACCTAAATAATGATAATGATGGCGCTCAAGGAAAAGGTGAAGAGATTACTGTACCTCAGGATATTGTTTCTAAGGTTTTTTGTCCAAAGAAATTCTTACTAAACTAACATTCATAATTTTTTTTAAACAAATTAATATTTATTATCATTGTTAAAAAAGGTGGTTGATAAGAACAGAACAGGCCTTGATTTATAATTCAGACACACAGTTTCTTTGGTCCCTTGTTGCAAATTCTCCGAAGGCTTTTTCAGTCCACAGGGAGGCAGAAAACTCTGCTGAAGACACATCCTCAATAACATAAAATATAGAAGTTTTGAAATACCTTTCTATTTGTTGTAAAGCAATACACTCTTCCTCTCTTGTCACACAAGGAACTGAAACAAATCTTTATCTGTGATAAAAAGAGACTAAAACTCTTTAGGTTGTTGTGATTAACGTGAAGTATTTGACATCTGAAATTACTGTTACACTTAAAATATATCAATAGAGTACAGTGATTTCTACCTGTGTTCAAATTTAATGTTTCTTGGACTTTAGTTCAACTCATAAAAAAAAGATCACATGCGTTGGAAAGTGTTGTATCTTCAGGTATGGCAATGATTCTGTTGAGTAAAAGGTTTTGTAATTAAAAGACAATCTGTCCTTTTTGCTGTTCCAGTGATTGTGGAACGTGACTGTATATCACTCTGTTATATGCATTGCTGTTTAAAACTGATGAAACGTACGTGAATGACCTCTGCCTGCAGCATTCAAACACTATTTTTGTAGTAGTATAAGAGAGTGACTTGCTCTTTATATGAATATGGAAAAGTATTTTGTACTTTGTTGTTAATTCCCCTCACTGAGATGTGCTGTACGTTTTGTACATGCAAACCTGCATATGTGGAACAGTGTAATCCTTTCAACAACAAAAAAATAAGTTGTAACTCAAGCTTGTACACTAAAAGCTACAACAGTGTGGCTCTGAAACTATGATTTAGAGAAGACAACCTCAGAGTGTTTTGCATTAAATACTGTTATCCTGTCTATAACCATTTCTGTTAGCAGGAATATAGTAATGTAGTGCTTATTCTGTAAATATTTGTATGTCATTTCTACGATGTATGTACAGTACACTTTTGAAGCTCATGTGGTAGGCATGCAACACCTTCACAGACCAAATAATACTATATACTTATACCGTATACACGCACATACTCTTATAAAGGTATATCAACAAATAAACATTTTGCTGTTAGCAATACCCAGTGGTATGAAAATTATCTTTCAACCCTCATGTTTCCACACCATAAGAAATATTGCAAGTTTTGTAAGAAAACAAAGGAAAACACAACAAAAGTTAACATATGATGATGACAATAACAAATAAACAAGAATATGTTCCCAGTAACCTCTTGCTAATAAATCCATTTGATATCAGGGGCATTTTGTCTCAAGTGTTTTTGTAGACACCTTTGTTTTGTTGACATCATTATGACTCAGAGTGAAACTAAATAAAATCGGTGTGTATTTGACAACCCAAGCTTCGCTATGTCCTATAACAAACCATGATGAAGCCCACAGTGAACTAAAGTCTAAATTTTGGTATAATTGGCCTCCCATTACTTATGTAGCTTACGTATGGATGGCAGCGGTATGTCACACTGTCGATGTGTAGCAGGTGTATTAGTTATGAAGAAGTTACCTCCAGTGAAAACTCCCGATCATTGTTACCTAGCATCAATGCACAGTGTGCATATCCAACAATTACAATGGCCTTTTGTTTGTTGAGTCTTTTTTTTCACAAATATATTCCAGCTGTCTGCATGGTGCCCAAATATGATGGATGATAGATATGAAAATGGTATCTTGCTTGATTACATACAAAACTAGAAAGATATTACTTTCATGATAATCTAAGCTTTCCCACAATTATGACTTAGTATCTCATAGTTATGAATTTGCATTCATAATTAATCATTCCTTTTTTTTCATAATTACTCCTCAGAGGATCCATTGTACCTCAGTGGTAGAGATGTGCATCCAAGAAAGTGAGCAGTGCACCTCAACATTTAAATTTGTATCCTTTTGTGATTTGTAGGATCAACTTTATTTTACAGAATCTCAAAATAAGGTTTAAAACTGGACCATTGCATTAAGAATATAGTAGCAGTAGTAGCAGACAATATCTGCTGAGACTCATTTTTTTGGTTCAAAGGCCTCAGTTAAATACGGAATATAAGTCCAGCTACAGTAACTATTTGGGCTTGAATTCAATTACAACACTGCGTTGTTGCCCCTGCGACACGTATTGACCTCCCAGTCTCAGACAGTGGATGAAAGTTGACGTCTTCCATGTCGTAAGACTACATTTCCCAGAATCCTCTCCCCTGCTCCACCTCGACCAATAAGGAAGAGATTGTGGAATAGGCGCAAAGTCCGTTGTCAGTCTGTTTGTGGCGCACTCCTGAAGGAAGTAAACCGTGTGGTTCTCAGTTCATAGATAACACTTTGAAAGCTTAATGAACTTTTACTTGATGCAACGTCTCGTTTCGTTGGCGTTCTGTGTCACGAGCGATGCGGAAGAGACCCGCTTTAACTGAGCACACAGCTGCAACAAGCTAGCAGTGTCCAGCGCAGCCTCTGTTTCACCGACAATGTCTTGTCTTCCACAAAACAACTTGAAGGAGCAGCTGGCGAGGCACAGCAATGCTGCTCAGAGCAAGTTGTCTCTGGCTAAACCCAAACCGGGGTAAGTCCGACCTTACTGAAGCTAACGTTAGCTTACAGTTAGCTGTGCGCTGTCAGCTGTGCTAACCGAACGCTAAACACTCGGAGGCGCGTTAGCCTCGTGGGAAGTAACGTTGACTCAATGTGCTACAAGCGTTGCTGTTTACAAGAGAGGTCACGCGTCTCGATACGAACAGGTTGAACTCATCGACCCGTTTGTCATTCAGCGTGATAGTGTGAACTGCTAGCTGGGAGTGGTCGCAGGGTCCTGAAGTCTGAATTTGTAACGCTTGTGTCAACTAATACTAAAATGAGGTCTTAATTGGCAGATCACTTTTTCATAATTTCGCACTGATTTATTTTTCAGGGCCTTTTCTTTCAAGAAGTCCTCCTCGACTACACCCAGGGTGGAAGTCCCAACCAAGGTAATCGGAGCTAATGTTTTGGCAAACAGGAATGTCAATGTCTCTAAGAACAATTTGGTGACTAAATCTCATTTGACATTTCCAAACAAGCTCGAGAGACCACAAAAATCCCAAATCAGCAACTTCGTCCCTGTAAATTCAAAAAGCAAGTCCGACTCCATCAGCCCGTCAGGTAACCGTGCTCCTGCAGCAGTGTCTTCTATTCCACACAACCAGTTTACTGGTGGCAATGGAAGCAAGTCCAGAAGTCTGGATACTTCTCTGGGATTCCCGATGGATGACTGGGACGATCTTGATGACTTTGAGATCCCTGTCAAAAATGACTCTGGGATGAGCGCCAACCAAGTGTCGTTGTTTAATGAAGAGAGAGCACAATCATCTCTCACGAAGCCTCCGTTGAGCAACTGCCTTGAAAACGGAAATGGCCTTTCTAGAAGTGAACAATCTTTTATGGAAACGGACGAGCTGGAGCACCAAGTCCGCAATGCAGCAGCTTCACCAGAACAGTGTTTGAATAATGAACCAGCGGAGTTTGAGCTTGACGTTTCTCCACTAAAAGCGACCAGAAAACGTCCTCCTGGTCACCGGAGGCCCGTTATGAGTGATAGTGAAGAGGACAACGATGATGGGCTTGAGCCTTTCAAAACAAAGACCGGTATGAAGCTGTTTGTTACACAATTTGGGATTTAGTTGCACATTGCTGGGCTGATATTGGTCTAGGAAGCATTGCCTTTTAGTGCAAACGTACAAAAAAAGGCTATTTTTTTATTTTATTTTAGATGACGAGACTAAATGGACTGACCCGAAGGTGATACAGCTCTATGACAACTCCGATCCTGAAGATGATCTTGATTACATTCCTCCTTCTCCAATCCCTGATGAGATATCTTATACTACCTCCGCATTGGAGACCAGGTCAGTTCTTTCAATTTGTTATTTATTTTAATAAAATGTTATTATGGAATGGACAATGGAGTGCTCCACATGTTAAGCATGGCACTCCTCGACAACAGGCATTTAAAAACAAAAACATCTGTATTACTGTAGGTGCATATGTTTTGACCTGGATATTACTTCAATTAGACCTAAAAGAATTTAACAAACAAAAGTGGGATGTCATTTGTCTTCTTTTTTTTTTTTTTTTTTTCAAACAGATCAAAATCAGTCGATGCCAAAAGCAGAGACAGTTGTGTGCAATCAAAAGGACCCATCGCCACTCTACACGCCTCGTCTGATAACCACTCAAACGACAATACAAGTGGGTGTTGAGCCTTTTTGTCACTTGTCCACATCATGTACTTATTTTTACTTAGTAAAGCTTGACTCAGTTTTTTTTGTCCTTGTTCATTTTTTTCTCTATTTTTTTCTTGTGATTACGTCACAGACGAGCAACTCTTCAGCATTATGCAGTGCATTTGTTCTCTGGTCGATTCCATCCCTGAACATGAAGTGATCGGTCTGTCCTGTGGCAGTGAGCTTTTGCTGAAGAGGGCTCAAAGGTCTGTATACAATGGGGAACATTAATTTTGTTATTGGTCATTAAACACGATTATATTTTAAATTCTAAATGTATTTATCAGCACACTTGCTAACATCCTGCCTTTCTTCCCCAGGAAGAGAATTCTTGCCACTGGGGGTTGCAATTCATTGAGCATGCAGCAGCCAGACAGCACTGTGATTTCCGACTGCAGCCATAAAATAAGATCTTCTTTTAGCTGTGATACGTCTAGTGTTATGTCATCCAGCGGCTCCGGCCCTTCGGACTCAAAGAAGCCTCCTCAGATCAGGAGATCTTCAATCATCTCTGTGGACGATGGTTGTGATCACTCAGACGGTATCACCAGCACGAAGCCCTCGTATAGTAGGAAAAGCGGAGCAGATCATGCGACAAATCAGAGTATCTGTGACTCCCCATCAACCCACAGGCTGACGGGGCCGTCTTTTAATTCCTCTAAGAAATCGACCACACACGCCGATGGTTCAGATCGCTTGTTCTCCCCAAAGAAGCCGGAGACTGTTGTTCAGAGCAAATCTAACACTCCGGCAGCCAGTACCGCAACGGAAGACGTCGAACTAGATGACTTTTACAATGACTACTTTGACATTGACGACTTCAATGACTCCGATGTGCCCAGTTACTTTGACGAACCCTCAAACTCCAGCACTGTGGCTTCGACAGCGAAAGATCTGCGATCATGCGAGTCTCCGTGGGGGAACAAACCAACGACTCCTGCACCTGCACCTAAGCCTGCGAAGATCTGCTCCCCTGGTACGTGGCTACAGCCGAGAGAAAGACCTTGGCCTGTACTTAGCAAATGTCCTTAAAGATTCTCAGAACAATGCGTAACAAAGAAAGATTTTAGCCGGTGAATTGCAGTGAATTTAGTTTTGAAAGATAAAGATTGTAGTCTGTAATTTGTATCCCACTATAAAACATTTTCTGTAATTGTAGAAGTAGTTACTTTTCTCACTAACCTGGTCAGTCTAATCGTTTTAACTGCCCTCTGAAACTCCCAATATGTCATCATTAGTTACAAAGATATAATTTAGAGCGGACACAATTAGTTACTCGATAAGCAGCAGCTACAGAAAAATAACAAGCAAACCGAGTATTTCAACTCAGACTTATGTTATGGAATTTCTTTTCCAATACTTGAAAGTCTTTGTTCTGCCCACCAGGTCCAGATTATGGTCCTGTGCTCCATCTTACTGACCCACTTTGAATGTTTTCCCATGTAGAACCCACCTACAGAAACCCAGCCCACGATCGCTTCCGAGGGTTCAACTTCCCCCACTCACAGGAGATGATGAAGATTTTCCACAAGCGTTTTGGTCTTCATCAATTCAGGTTTAATCAACTTGAAGCGATCAATGCAACGATTCTTGCAGAAGATACCTTTGTCTTGATGCCCACAGGTTGGTACTGATGGCAAAAATATTGTTGCCACAATAGATTTGGGATGTCATCAGCAGTGAAAATGTCTCCGTTGCTCTGAACCTCGTGTATTTACAGGCGGTGGAAAAAGCCTGTGCTACCAGCTGCCGGCCTGTGTGTCACCTGGAGTCACTGTGGTCATCTCCCCACTCAAATCTCTCATTGTGGACCAGGTCCAGAAACTCACTACACTGGATGTAAGTAGTATGGTTTCACCTTGTGGGCTCAGTATGAAATATGTTACGGTAAGCATGTGTTCGGTTTATTTGTAATGTTTGATTTCAGATACCAGCGACGAGCCTCTCTGGTAGTAAAAGTGACAGCGAAGCAGGAAGGATTTATATGCAGCTCTCTCGGAAAGACCCCATCATTAAACTTCTCTATGTCACTCCGGAAAAGGTGAGACGGGATTGGTTCACACTCCAGATGTTTGAGCTAGTGGGTTTTGTTGCTTGATACAAATCAATGGAGTAGTAACTATTTTCTCTCAAAGACTGAATCTTCTCCTTTCCCCTCAAGGTGAGTGCAAGTCAGAAGCTGATCTCCGCCATGCAGAACCTGTACGAGCGCGGCCTTCTGGTGCGCTTTGTCATAGATGAAGCCCATTGTGTCAGTCAGGTGTGTTCATCTGCCCCCCCCCACCCAAAATGCGGCATGCCCTTTATCTTCGCAAGAGCCGTTGTTAACCATCCTGCCACCGTAATATTTTAGTGGGGTCACGATTTTCGTCCGGACTACAAGAGGCTACATGAACTGCGGCAGAAGTTCCCGAGCGTGCCCATGATGGCCCTGACAGCCACCGCCACCCCGCGGGTTCAGAAGGACATCCTGAACCAGCTCAACATGACCCGGCCACAGGTGTACGTGTTCAGACTCTGTCTCAGATCTGAAGAATGAGTTTTATTTCACTCATTTCTTTTAAATTCAAACAACCAACCGCTTCAAATGTTCCATCTTATGTCCTTTCAGGTTCACCATGAGCTTCAACAGAACAAACCTGAAGTACGCTGTCCTGCCCAAGAAACCCAAGAAGGTTGCAGAGGACTGCATCGACTGGATTAAGAAGCACTACCCGCGTAAATAATTCAGAAGTACCTTTTCTCATGCTGGTTATTTTCACAACTCTTCTGTGTTGTTCAAAAGCCAACTCACATTTGTATGAGGGAACATATTCCGCCGTCCGTCCTGTTATTTAAAGCTCATACATATTATATTCAATGAATATTTTCAGTGATTTACAAGCCCTCGCCGACTGCCTTTTGTCGCAGGTGACTCCGGCATCATCTACTGCCTGTCCCGTAACGACTGTGACGCCATGGCTGAAGGTCTGCAGAGAGCTCACATATCCGCTCTGTCGTATCACGCGGGCCTGAGTGACGGCGACCGAGAATACGTGCAGAGCAAGTGGATCAACCAGGACGGCTGCCAGGTAAGGTCGCCACTCACTGATCTGTTGTAGGAATTCCCACTAGACGGCACTGCAATTTAAAGTTTGCATCGCCTCGGCTACACTGCTTCGTCTTTGTCCGTCAGGTCATCTGTGCCACCATAGCGTTCGGCATGGGCATCGACAAGCCCGACGTGCGTTATGTGATCCACGCCAGTCTGCCTAAGTCGGTGGAGGGTTACTACCAGGAGTCGGGGAGAGCTGGCAGAGATGGAGAGATCTCCCACTGTATCCTCTTCTACTCGTACACCGACGTCCATCGCATCAAGAGGATCATCGGCAGTATGTATTTAGAAATATAGTCCGTTTGTCTGTGATTTTAGTTTCATCCTCAAGCCAAATGTTAAACTATTCTGTATATTAGTCGATGTATACTCTGACGTCTGTTTCTCACAGTGGACAAAGAAGGTGACCGACACACCAAGGCGACTCATTTCAACAATCTGCACAGCATGGTGCACTTCTGTGAGAACGTGATGGAGTGCAGAAGACTTCAGCTGCTTGCATACTTTGGGGAGCTGAAGTTTAACAAAATGTTCTGTAAGGAACACGCAAACGTCAGCTGTGACAACTGTGCCAAACCCAACGTAGGATTCACTCCTTAATTTCATCATAACAAATTCCAAGCCTACCTGGTTCCGTCTCCAATTGGGCAACAACGTTTGAATATTCCTCTGCGCAGCAATACAAGATGAGAAACGTCACTGAAGACGTGAAGAAGATTGTAAAGTTTGTTCAGGAGAACTGCGAGAAAGTTGGATCAAGGTTTGGCAGAACTGCTCAGCAAAACCGGCTGACTCTGAATATGTTGGTGGATGTATTTGTAGGTAAAGTACATTTTGGTTGGGGATTCATTTTGCATGACGTTCTCATATGTTGGCATTCCATGTGATCTGTGAATGGTCTTTGCACCAGGGTCCAAGAGTGCCAAGGTACAGACAGGAATGTTTGGGATGGGAGGAGCCTACTCGAGGCACAATGCTGACCGTCTCTTCAAAAAACTAGTCCTGGACAACATCCTGGAGGAGGATCTTTACATCACCATCAACGGCCAAGCCGTGTCGTATATATCTGCTGGACCCAAAGCCATGAACGTGCTGTCTGGACACATGCAGGTCACCTGACTTATATTGACTGAAGAGCTGGATGTGTAAAACTTGATGAAGGATAAATACATGTGAAGACTAACCGGCACTTGTCTCATTGCAGGTGGAGTTCTATGAGACTGAGAGTGCGTCAAGCATCAGGAAACATAAAGCTGCTGTGACCACGAACGTCTCCCAGAGAGAGCAGAAGGTTCAGGAGTGTCTGAAGGAGCTGACCGATCTCTGCAAGCAGCTAGGGAAAGCGTTTGGCATCCACTATTACAACATCTTCTCCACTGCTGCCTTAAAAAAGATAGCCGGTAATTTCTGAGACGGTCGACTGTCCCCAAACGGCTCATCTGATAGAAGCATGTTGTAACTTCTTATTTTTCTGCACATGAACAGAGAAGCTCTCTCCTGACCCGGAGGTCCTCCTTCAGATTGATAGTGTGACTGAAGACAAACTGGAGAAGTATGGCGCTGAGGTCATTCAGGTCCTAGAGAAGTACTCTGAGTGGCAGCTGCCTGGTAAGGGAACAAAAGAAAGCTTATTTCAAGTTTGCGTACATTATTTCCTTCAATTTTCCGCATTGTGCCAATGATCCTACGTCGTCTTTGTTGCAGAGGAGCCGCCTGAAACCACGGGAGACGGGTGGATAGACACGGCACAAGGCCGCTCGTACGGAGATGACGATGGCGACGCCGAGTCCTCCGCGTACTTCCGTGGTCAGTCTGCACAGGGACAGAAGAGAAAGAAAGCTCCATTCTTCAAATATTCCAAGAAGAGAAAAGCTTCTGGCAACTCGAAAGGGTCTGTAATGTGTTGTCTCGCACATCCTCATGAAGCTGGAGATCATATTTAGTAAAAAGCTGGAATTCACTTTATTTCCCTCCCCTCTTGCTGTGGTGTTGCAGTCGCGGCTACAGCAGCAATAAGTCGTGGTCGTCGTCCGGCTCCAGAGGCGGGTCCAGCGCTGCGGGACGGGGGTCCAGGAGCTCGACGGGAGACTTTTCAGCCAGCAGGAAACCGGGCTTCCTAAATGTGCCGGCCCCTCAAACCAACCAGCGACCCTTCTTAAAGCCCACCTTTTCACATTTGGGCTAGAAGCTTCTTGCGATCTGACTTCTAGGGTAGCAGACTGCTTTGTCACTACAGATTTAAATATTGGTTGTTAGTAATGGTTAATCAGTATTTACCAGTTATATCAACTGTTTATTGAAACTTTTAACATCGTTTGTTATGTACAGTTGAGTGTTTTGCTTATTGTTCCTTTTCACTGTCCATTTTGTTTATATTAAAGAATAATTACCTAATTAAAAAAGCCTTTTCTTTATTTTGAATAACTTATCATTTTTTTTCTGTGTCAGAAAGGCAAGCCGTGTGCTAAATGTGTGTTGTACTACAAAGCCACAGGGAGACACATTGTGTTTTTAATCAATGTTTATTTTATACTGACTTGTACAGAAGGTTACTTACAGTACAAACATGGGACTGAACAAGAACTGGATTTGGCACAAGGATTTATATATATTATATATTAACTTGTGTGTGTATATAACGCAACTAAACAGCAACCCGCAATCCCAGGATGCAGACTACAAAACACACCACCAGACATGGATATGCACACACACACACACACACTTGTTGACGCGCATGTGTAACAGTTTGAGGGTCTGATGATGGGGGGGGCAGCAAGGAGCAGATCATGATCTCTTTGGTTATGACTAGTTAAGTTTATGATACGTCATCCCAAATAATGTGACAGGGTTTTGGCAGGATTCAAATTTAGGTAGCTAATTGTGCATAAATCGCATGATTATGATCATTAAAACATGAATATGTAGTCGGGGGGGGGGGGGGGTTGTATCACATACGAGTTCAAGCATAGAGTGGACAAAATAACATGAACACCTCATAGGTTCTGTAAGAAAACACCACAAAGAACGACCTCAGAAATGACCCCAAACATGCCTTCTTAAAAAGATTTAAAGTTTCAAAAAGTTGGTTGTTACATGTTACCATGTGGGGGTTTTCTGTTATTGCCTCTTCTTCCCTCTCCCCCCCCAACATATATTTAATTCCAAGACAAGAATTGATGCTTCAACCTCCAATGACCCACGTTGTATATGCATGCCGTTACCTGCTTTTCAGGGACGACCCAGCGGTTTCTGATTTGTAAACCACGGATGACAATCACACACGCTCATCAAAAGTCACACATCTGACTGCAGTAATCTCCCTAAAATAATACGGCAACTGAAATGTAAAAGTAGAGCCAGGGTTGTCGTAGGAAACCTTCAAAGACATTAAGCCCCAGTGTGCATTATAAAATGTTACAATTGGATGAAAACCGTTTTCTGGGTGAATTGCAGAGTTGGGCATAAGGAACGCCTGTCCCTTAACAATAAAACGGCAAAGAAAACAGCAGAACAAACATCCACACGAGAGGTCTCTGAGGAAAATCTGATTTTTATAAAACAGTGACTAATTGTCTCAGTTGGCACGTCATCGCTAGACAGGATTTAACAATTTTGTAAGTGGTTTTCTAGAAACAAAAAGAACATATTTCACTTACTCTGGTTTTTCATACAGAACTTTGTAAATTTTTGCTCTTACACCAGATTATTGCTCATTGAATAACGCTGCCTTTTCCTTTTTTTTTTTAAATTGTTGCATGTTCAGAGAGACCACTGGAGCTACATAATGCTGCTGGATGTACGATGAACACCTTTGAAAGATGTCCTGTGGACCAGCCTGGCTGGACGGGTCATGTTGACCTTTATGTCAGTAAAGCAGTATTAAATGTGAAGTATGAAAATACACACAAAGAAGTAATCCTTCCCTCCCTGCCCCCCCCCCCCCCCCCCGTTAAGAAAAAAGGGCCCCATCTTTGCATTGCTATTTATTCGATGTCTCCCAGTTTCAAATGATTACTCGACATAAACCAGCTCCTACGCTCCGTGTGTGACGGGATTCTTGCCAACATACTTTAATGACGTGTTATTTCCTCTAGCATCATCCTGCTCCCTCCACCACGGATGAGGGATAATGAGCGACAGGAGTGGATCCAGCCACAACGCCAAAGTGCGTGCGTGCTGCTCTGTGGTCAGGACTGACCTTTAGCCAAGCAGTGGCACGCTCGGATCAGAGAAGCAAACAAAGAAAGTAGCACCATCCGGCCTTCAGTGGAGAAGCAAGAAACCTCTAACAAAGTCATTTGATGTCACTCAAGGCTTCTTTATTTCCTTCTTTTGCTTCCTTTTTTATGCCTTTTGGCAAAATGTTGTTTGCGTTGTTTTTTTTGTTTTTTAAGTCTTTCGGTCCAATACTTCACAGCTAGCGCCTTCAGCCTCCACTTTCTACATGCAGACAGTCACGCTGTAGAAAAACATGATTTCAACCAGAATCCTGTGGTAGTTATTGCTTCCTGGTGCTGTGAGGCTGGAGAGTCTACTCGGCAAATCTAAGGGCAGATAATACTTTTCAATATCGACTTATTGCCGGAATATTTGTATCTCCTTTCATGTTGGCTGATAATCAACGGAAGGAAGTGTTGTACATCATTTAGAAAAAAAAAATCATTCTTGATTTACTCCTGACCAAATGTTTTGTTCATTTCATTACCTATCAATCTGCCCATTATTTTCTAGACTGATCACTGAAAAGTGACCATTCTAATCCTACTTTTCTCAAAACCATAGGCAACATATCACAATTTGTTTTCTTTTTACATCCGACCAACATTTCCAATTCCAAAGATATTCAATTTACAATGACGAACAGAAATGTAAACCAGAAGGTTTACCAGAAAATCTTCCCTTGAAATATGACAATTATTTGACAATCAAAATATCTGGCAATTAATTTGTATATCAGTTGTTCAAGTAATCATTTCAGTTGTAGTTTTGTTTTACTCCTTTTTAAAATGAGTTCCAGCGTGAGGATAGGTCACAACTCACAACACGCATCAGTCAGGCTCCACGTCACCGCTCCAAACGTCTTGGAAATAAGAGATGGTAAATGTTAAATGAATGGTTCAAATGTGCTTTGGGACTATTTGGTATTTTTGATGGTACAATGACATCACCAGATTTCCCGCTGTACAAATACATGTTCATTAATATGATCATTACAATTGCACGCACACCAGAGGCTGATTCACTGCTGCTGGTGTGATGAGATGTGATCAGTGTTGAGTGGATCTGGATAAAAAGCCTTTTTTTTAGTCCCCACTTCCGCATTTCCATAAATGCTTCTGACCTGACTTGAAACACAGCTCTAAAAAAGGTATAATTTAATCTTCAATAACAAAATAACATTTCGTTCTGTTAAAATATACATGGAAAACTTATCAATATATATTAGGAAACAAACTAATTTGTACAAAAAGTACATCAGTATTCTTAATCTTTCTTCTAATAATAATAATAATATAGAGTGTTACATATACCTAAGAGCGAGGTTGATATGAAACCAAAATTAATCATAAACTCGTCATACAAGAAATAATTGAAATTCATCGAATTTCAACTGGCTGAAAAATGCGATGAAGTTTATAGAGTAAACTGGACGAATGAGCACATTCAAAAGAACTTAATCAAGCATTGCACATCTATCTAAAATATCATTATTGGTACCAACAAATTCTAGCTTTTTATGAATATTCATAGAAATCCCTAACTGTCGTCTGTCACACTAATGGTGCTGGTTTATTTGTTTTTGTAAAACAACTTTGTTCTTCATGAATTTACTTTGTACAACAGGTGTACGTAAGCTAATTGTGTCTTTAAACAATGCACGGAATCCAGTTGTCAACATCTTCTCAAAAAAAGCCGTTCTGTAATCACCTGCTCTCTGTTTAACGAACCTTCCCTTCGAACTGCTCTGTTTATTTCTGTTGGGTTAATCTGCGTTTGGGCAGCGTCTAGTTAACCTCCTGATGAGGACGAACCAATATCAAAAGATATTAAATGACTTTGCTACAAATACACTGAGCAGCAAGCAGCCTGTCAACTGTAACACAACTCACTTCCATCTTCATTTTAATGGCAAATCAACTTCCTTATGTTCCGTTCTCCTGTTCTCATTTTATTATGCACTACATGTTTAAAAGCAATTAATAATAATGAAGGCAACTTTCAACCATGATACGTTGTTTAGAAATCAACAGTTTAAACTCCTTCAGTTCTTTGATTTCAGTTGGATTTTTTTTTTCCTTTGTGTTATTTGAAAAAATAAAATACCTGAAATGAGTTGAAATAAAAAAAAAAAACGTCTGGCTTGTCTCTGGCTTTGTAGAAAACAAAAACGGGACAAGGAGATGGTTGGTTGGGGGGTCCGAGCTGAATGTCTGCAGGAGGACGATGAGAGAAGAAGGGTTCATGTTGGGACGAAGCTTCCCTCCATCACTCCGGAGTCCTGACCGCCGAACGGGGGGGGGACAAACCCTACGACCTCTACGACCCCCGCGACCTCAATCCCCCTTGTTAATGAGCAAGCCGCCCGCCCAGCGGAGCTTGCAGGCAAACCACCGCCGGAGGGGACAAAAGTATTCGTAATGGAACTGCTCAAATTCGGGGGTCTGGCGGATATCACGTAAAAATGCCACGTCGAGGTCGGACTCCGTGAGGACGATGAGGAGGAGGAGCAGGACGAAGAGGAGCCCGACGGTCACGAGGAGCAGACGGAGGACACTCAAGACGAACTTATTCACCTGCTCCACCTCGCCGAGGGCGGAGTCGCCCCCCGCGGCCTCTTCCGCGGCCCCAAAATCACCGGCTTCCGCGTGCGACGGGGTGCCCGCCTCCGACTCCTTCTCCTCCTCGATGCTGCGGGGCGCCCCGTTGCTCTGGCGCGAGCCGGACACCTCCGCGCCGTGCTCGCCCACCGGGGTGGGCAGGACGCTGTCCGACGGGCTGTAGGCCTCGTCCGAGATCACCGCGCTCCTCTCGCCGGCGCCCGCGGCCTGGCTGCGGGAGCGCGGTATGAAGCACTCCCCGTGGGACACCGAGCGCACCGGCGTCGAGTGAGCGCTGTCACGCAACGACTCCAGGCCTGTTGTGTTGGGGGGGGTAGAAAAGAATATTACAGACATGAAAGACGGTTGCTGATGTGATGCGGTCGTGCATGAGCTTAACTAGTGCAATATAGGACGGAATCTGCACCGAGAGGTCTATTTTGCAGGGTGTCCAGTAGAGGTCTGTTACAGAGCAGAAATCAGCTCTAATGGAAGAAATCCACATGCATAGATGTTATTCAAAAAACACATACTGTACATACTTAAAATAAACTATACTTGCTGCTTCCTGATAAAGTTGCACTTTCAGAGCAGTAATCTCCAAACAAGAGTCAAGGGGTTGGAGCATATTCGCAATATCTGCATTGAAAAGCTTGTGTTGGAATGCTCAGTAATTTAGCATCATGGCTTTAAACACATAACAGATCACAAGGCTCATCCTTAATTTTGGATTCATTTTGTGATGATGCAGATACGTTTTACAACACTTAACATGCTTAATGTCTGAGAGGTCGTCCCTTTACAACTCAAATTTAAGAGATGAGGGAGAAAATCCACAGGCCTGGTTCAGTGTAAAATACATTGCAAACATTCAGGGGAATTTATATGATTATAGACGTATATGTATAGGAGGCTTGCAGTCTTTCATAATGCACATACAGTAGGTTTTAATTTAAGAAGACTTGAAAGAATGCCTTAATGCTTTGTGAAACCTACAACCAGCCTGATTGCATTAACTGTGTTAGTTATCTATCCAGATTCAACAAATAAAAACAGCAAAATATATTTAACCTAAAACTAGAGCTATCCATATACCAGTATTTGTAATCTGATATTGTGAAAAAGAATGCACATTAACTTATAGCATTGCAACAGTGGTCTTATAACACTGTAGATATTAAAGAATGTACACTGTACATCTGAAACTATTCAACAATAGAATGCATCAAGGCATGAAAAATATTTACTGCTCGTGTAACTCGACTGTTCCTTTTGCAGCAGAAGTAACAGCAGAATGTGAGAGCCTCGCTGCAGTGTGCATGTCAGTGACGATGAGCAGCAGTTAAGCCCTTTGCTGACGATATCACATTCTCCAGAGTCAACGCGGCAACATTAGACCTTCACTGTAAAGGGAACGGATTAAAATTCAGCTTTTGATGAGAAAGCAAGCGGCTTTTGGGAAAACTGCAGGACAAGTAAGGTCAATTGTGCCCAGTGCGTAAGCCCCTGCTGACATGAAACTCCTGTCAAGTGATAAGAAGGAGGCATGACGGTTGGGTGACTGTCAGCAGCCATCTTTGCTCATATGTTGATCTTTCTCAGTTTATCCCACAGCACATTGTGCTTACAAAGTGAGGTGGCAGGCGGTAATTCCCATGTTTACAGCTTATAATTTGAAAGACAAACTTCAAAAGAAACGCTTACAGCAGACACATCAAACCCCCTGAAATACTGGTTGGAACCCAAAATAGCAGCTATATAAAGAGTCGTCAGATCTCAAACGAATGAAATGACCCTCACAAGCGGTACTGAGACTAAACCGCACAGAAGGCACCCACAGGAATGGTGTCGCTCCCTCCGCTCCAACACTTCCACGTGCCGACCCTCCGTGACGTTTACCTGGAGAGGCGTCGGGCCGAACGCAGGGCAGCGGAGTGCCTGGTAGAGGGCTGACGCTGGCTGACTCCTGCTGCCCCGTCAGGGCGGGGTAAAGGGGCAGGACCCCCAGCGCTTTGCCCAGCATACGAGGCCCCAGGCTCAGCACGCGGACCTTTACATCCCGGTAGCAGTGGTTGATCATACGCAGGTGGACGTTCACCCGCGTGGTGATGCGGATCAGGCACTTGACCATGGTTACGGCATGCACGCGTTTAACCCGTCCTTGTGTATCCCGTCCCGGAGTGCAGGCCACAGTCTCACTGTGTGTGTGTGCGCGGGTGTATGTTGAGCAGAGGGGGTCTGCCTTAGTTGCCGGGTTGCAGGGAGGAGCGTGCGAGGCCAAGCTGGGGCTTTCTGCAACGGTGCCACAGCACGTTGGCATTGGCCTGGCCTGATCTGGCCCCACCCAGGCCACCGACATACATGGAGTAGAAGACTCCAAGGCTATTTTCAGCTGGCTTATTAATACCACTGTAAGAAACCCTGTCAGCACAGACTGGGGGGGGGGGGGGGGGGAGCTCATATGGATCCGTTGAACCCACAGAGAACACACACGGACAACACAAAGCGTTACAGTGCGTCATTAGTGGACATTTCCCAGAGCCATGCGGAACATGCAGAGGAAGTGAGGGCACCTGTTCTGGGCTCCCATTGGGCCAAATGGGTCCGGTTACATCATGTGTTTGTGTAAGTGTAAAAAAAAAAGAAAAGCTATCTGATCTATTTACGATTCCATATGAGCCAACAATACATTATCCACAAATGAATGTGAAGACTGAGATTGCAATCGCTACAGAAACGGCCACATATTTTTTCAGCGGCTGGAGACGACGTGTAAATAATAAAGACACTCACTGTGAGGCCTCCACTAAACACACTTTGTCTTGAAAACACACGTTTGCCATCCGGGATGTGTTGCTTGCGTAAGCCTGTGGGAGCACGGGAGAGGACGTTCTTACCCTCCATAATAGATATGTGCACAGCTCTCCGGCGCGTGCGCGGCACGCTGGTGAGGCGAGGCCCGTGGGTGATGGATGGACAACTTCTACTGGGCACAAGGCCAGCCCTGCAGAGGAAAACAAAAACAAAGATGCACAAATATCACTGGAGACAGAAATAGCTGCGAGCAGAGGTAACGCATGCTGTGGCGAGCAGGTGCTGCTGATATAAAGACATCTACAGTAGCTTGGCGCCTGAGAAAATTGAAGAAAAGCAACGGAAAAAAGGGATCGAGGACATTCTGTCCACTCCTGACTTTACAACTCTACCTGTGTATTTCTGGAGGTTCACGTTTGATTTTGGCACTCTGCTCCATCACCTCTTTTGCCACTCGTCCACTGTTATAAAGCACAGACACGACGCTCAGGATGAGTTGCACAGACACACACACACAGACACACACACACGCACGCACATCACCGGGTGCCCTGGTGTCACCCGATGCTATGAAAGCCATCACTGCAGACTGCAGTCTGCAGTGTAGTACAGTGCATTAGCCTCATGATTGAATTCAGCTTTGTGTAACTGACTTACCACAGGTCAGAGAAAAGGCATACACAAAGAATATCAAAACAATGATCATGGTTTGCCCTTCAACTCAACATTTTACTGGCTGGGCTTGTGATTTTAGTTAATTTACAGTCTTCATGTATGAATTTTAGATTTGGAATGCAGTTGTATAATATACTTCACGTAGTTTTGGTTTGAAGAGCTCAGGTTTTGAGATATGAATATTCTGCCGGATATGAGGATATTCAGCAGAAATTCTTCAGGCTTTTGAAAAGTATTTTTTCAATTGAATTAAAATTCTATCCACCTCCAGACGCAAAAAAAAAAAAATCTCAAAATCAAAGCAAATAAAACAAAACTATCATACCGAGTTAGACACCACTAAAGATAACTCAAACATGTTTTTCCCTTGTGTGAACTGGTCCTTTAATAAAGGACAACAAGTCGGTCAAACAAGGTGATAATGCCTCATGCCATCAGTCCCCCTCTGGTGAGGTGTCGCTCATATCCGCCGGGCAAAAGCACGCTGGCGTAAACGGCCAGGAGGCCACGTCTTCTGGGAACACTTCTCTCCACTTCCAGCTGGGGGGGGTGGGGGGGGGGGGGGGCCCCCCCCCCCGGCATCAGTCGTACTGTTGTGTACTCTACCTGAAACGGAACCGGCTGCCCTTGAAGAACAGGTTGCTGCTGGACACCGTGCGAACCTGACTGGACTTTTCAAGCCTGGTGGAACAAGCACAAAAAAAACGGAAAATAAATCCTACAGCACTGAAACAAGCAAAGCAGGAGGGAAAACTGTTATACAACATAAACAATACCCCACTCATTATGAGCTCCTAATAGAATCTTATCTTTGAAGCGTGCATATTTGTAATTCTTGCTTTCTGAATCCCAGAACAAAGCACAAACTAGAAGCAAATAACCTGCCATTGAATTATGTATGACATGTATGCAGTATAGGCACTGAATCCTCAACACCGCTCCATTCAATATGTTCATATTGTCACAGCGAGAGAGACATTAATGTTTAATGCTCTATTTTGCTTTCAATGTGTGCTTCTCAGAAAGACAAGACAACTTGTTATCTGGCCTTTTCGATCCCCAGACTCCTTATTATTAGATGAAAAATGTAATAAGTGAGATTTAAATCAAATATTATCATTCTTCCCCTTTACAGAGTCATCTGAAGGACACATCATATTCACAATCCCCTTCTATGTCCTTCTGCAAACCCACACGCACGCTAAATCACCTGAGCCGTCAGCGCGACTCGTTGCTTCCTGGCAGCTTGTTTGGATTTGTTTAGCTGGAAGTAACAGAGGGGACCTGCAATATTACCCATTGCTGACACAAAGGGGGGGTGTTTCGAGTTCTTTGCCCCCACCCCCTTCTTGATATAAAGAGATGTGTGGGGGATTCACATTTTTTGCCCCCCCCCCCCCCCCCCCCCCACGCTGAGACAAACAAGCCAGAGGGAAAAGGGGATTTAGAGGACACCAAGGTGCTGTGACGGAATCTGATCTGCTGACAACGCCGTGACAGCACAGGGAAATAAAAGACAACATTGGAATTAAATGAAGGAAGTAACGAATGGACTCACTTGTAGAAAGCTTGATTCTCCACTCCACACTTCCAAAGGTGCTTGCACGCCTCCGGCGTGGGTGCAAAGTACGTCAAGATGATCTTTTTGTCCTGCACGTTTAAAAATGACAGAATGTGCAGGAAAATATAACTTACAGCAGGGCATGTGGACTGTAGTTTGCCTTCTTAGTTTTGTCCCCACATCCAACAATTCATGCTCTCACCTCCTTCTGATTTGCATAAATGTGGAACGTCTTGCCTTCAAACTTCAGTTTGGTCAACTCGTTCCTGTCCAAGCAAAACAGTCACACACACACACACACACACACACAGGAAACCGAAAGCCACAGCTTCTTTAAATATTCATGACAACCAGCCTGACATCACATAGACAGCCACAGTGCTCCGTGTTTTGCTGACAAAACAATTAAGTGATAATATTCCCTGCAGACTGGGAATGGAGAACGAGGGTAACCTGAATGTTAACAAAGCCAGTGTGAATACTGCAACCATTCAGAGTCTCTTTGTTATTGTAAAATTAGACTTTTTTTTGTTCATATTTAATACCATATTTTGACACATTTTCTATGAATTATTTAAGTATCATCCTGATTTGAATCAGTAGGTGTAAGCTGGTCTAATTAGCCATCTGTGCACATGCAGTGGGGTTTTGTTACAGGTAGAGGCAGATGGATGAGCTTTGCTGTGTCAGACTCTACAACCAGATGTAGTGCGAATACTGTTTTACTTTATAACTCTAAGCATGTAGAGCATGTGTGTCAAATCAGGTTAAATGAAGTTCTGCGTCACAGTGTGCGTTAGTCTATTTACATGCTGCAACTGCTCTGGTGTCTCTGGCTCACGCGTTTACAATCTACACGCAACATTCAGACAATGTCGCACAATTCGGCTCACCACTTGAGAAAATGAACCCTCCTGTTTCCCTGAAGCACCACAAAACCGAATGGTGTGAAGGCGAGGAAAGCAGGGTTCCCAGACACATCCTGTAAGAAAACAATTTGAAATACAAGTTGAATGCACACATTTGATACGAGTAACACGTAACTAATGAGACTGGTGGTTTTGCATGCATTGCATGTGCCATGGGTCTTGATGCCCAGGTTGGACAGAACTGTTTGATGAAATGTTTATGGTCTAAAAAGAAACGGCAGTGCTTGAAAAACCTTGCATGGATGTGGATCAACACCATATGTCTCCAGCATCTGGGCTTTCTGGAGGAAATTGCGCTCCGATGTTTCAGGTGTCTGTCCACTGAGAAACAACACACCGAACATCTGTGTCAATTCACCATCAGCATAAAATATTTAACGAAAAGTTTGGAAAGGCTAAAAACTAAAAAAGGGCAGTGACAAATTAATACATTCATTTAGAGAGATTATCCACATCAAAAATGATATAAGAAAAGAAATATATCGGGATATTTTTAAGAAGCAAATAATTATCTCCACTTTATCTCTTGTTCTATTTGGGCTGTCAAATTCTCGTGAGCTTTCCGAGCGAATCGTTGTTCGTTTGGTGGTGATGAGAGAAGAAACCACCAGATGGCAGCAGAGTCTCATGGCGTTTGTCATTCGGCCTTTGCGCCATCAAAATCAGACTTGATGTCTTTCTACCTCAGTTACATTAGGCATAATAAAATAAGTACATCCATCATATCTACTATGTTAATATGTTGGGGGAGTTGGAGTGATCGACATGTAAATGAATCCCTTCAGCAGCTCACTGGCTGTGTGTGTGTGTGTGTGTGTGTGTGTGTGTGTGCGTGTGGTTGATCTATATGATCACTTTCATTATTACGCTCAGCTCTCCGTCATTAGAGTGGACAACGAGTGCTTTTCTGTACTAGCTGCTGAACTAAGTGCCACTGATCAGTCCGGCCAACCCAATGCAAGGAAATGGTGCCACATTACTGTGATATCAATTTCAGAGTAAATCTGCTTTGTTCCGCCTTCATAAGAGCGTGATGTGTAGGTATTTATTGATGTTGCCATACTGGCTCTTACATAAGCTCTGTCTTGTGTATGTCTGCGATTCGACGCTCCAGCTTCTCCGAATGCTTCGGGAAGAACTGGAATTTCGAGCTGTAACCTTCAGGATGCTTCCCAGGGTCGTAATTTCCGATCTCAGCTGGAGAGAGGATCAGAAAAAGAAAAAGTGTTCAAAATTCACAAACATTCGGGGCGCATTAGTCGAAATGATGTGCACAGCTTTCAGCACGGTGCTGCTTTCGCAGGCTGAACATGCCCAGGAATATTTGTGCTGCTTTCTGCCACACTGCACTCCCTCGGATGACCCTGATGCTGATTTCTCTCTGCAAGGAGGAGCTGACCAGGCAGTGCATCTTTAATTCATCAGCCCTTCCTCCAGAGGACCTGCCTTTCCTCAAACACTGTGCATTCTGTGATGTGAGCTGAGCCGCCTTACCTGATGTGTGTTTTTTATTGTAGGTATGTGTGTGTGTGTGTGTGTGTGTGTGTGTGGTGACCATAAGCTGCCATATTACTTAAATATTTTTTTAATAAATATTACTTAATATTTTAATTAATAAATATTTCACAACCAAGTGTGGTTTCTTCATTCAATAAAGAGTGTACAGTAGGGGTGTAACGATTCATTTTAACAACATTGTTACTGTGATGTTGAGTTTGGTGCTGGCGAGGCCTGAGGTGTCTGCAGAGCTGGAGTTACCTGCTGCTGCTGCTGCAGCGGTAACGCTGCTAGAGGACCTGACTGTCGGCGTTGTTTAATCCCACGGCGCCTTAGTAGATGGCCGGAAAGATTCGTCGTGTTTTTTTATTTGTCTTCCACATATTCTACAAACAGCGACCGACTTATTTAGAACACCTCCGTGTTTGCAAAAGCCAAAATGTTTCCACACGCTGGATCGATAAGTTAGTTTGTAAATGTCTCGCTCGCAGTCGTCTCCTCCACGCTGTGTTTGTTGTTGCGAGTTTCGCGCGTGTGACTGATGACGTCACAAACAGGCAGACTGAATCGAGTAACGTTTAACGTGTCTAAAGTGCAAAAAAACAAACAAACAAACACACATCCATACCGTTTTTGTACTTAAATCCAATGTGCAGTTTCCAAGTATCGATACAATCGATTATGTACCATTTCAATCGATTTGTAATCAATACATGTCGTCCGGAATGCCGATTTGCGGAGCACAGATCGATTCAGTTGGATGCAGGAATATAAATCGATTAACGATTCAGTGAATGAATACACCCCTAGTGTACAGATCACAATTTTTTGTTGAAGCAGAAAAATCAAAATCAGTGTGAACTAGAGGCGTGCGGTAGAACAGAGGTCACACAACGCAGAGCAAACTGTTCTGTGTCCTTCTCATCCGTCACTTTCCGTTACCTTGAAGGATGTGTGCCGCCAGCATGGCCGCGTCCGAGGTTTTACACAAGAGCCGACCGTGGTAGAGGTCTCTCTTGATTTGCAGGAAGACGAGATATCTAATGGGAAAGGACAAACGTCATGACAGACAATGTGATAGGCCCGCAGAAGAGAACGCTGATGACATTCACTCATCCGGGTTCATTTCACAGTGACACAAAGATTCGGAGCAGAACCAGCAAAATTACAGTTGAGTTCATAATTCCCTTTGGCTGGTTTGTATATTTCTTTTTGATATAGAAAATGAGGGTTTTGTTTTGGGGGAAATGAGGGTAGAGAGGCCCTGAGGGAAAGCTGCTACTGATGCTGTGCTCCTCTTGAAGCCTCCAGCCTAGTTTCACACTCGCCCAACCAACTAAAGCATTTTCTGAGGCGTATTTCACTATTGTGAAGATGGCTAAAAGTGTTATCACTACAGGAGGTGGGCGTGTTAAATTCTTACATTAAAAACTCGCTGAAGCATGAACAGAATATTAGACGTTGATCTTGTTTTTGTTTTTTTACAATCAGCCAGCAGACCTGATCTCCATCCAGCATCTAAGGAATTTCCATTTGCACAAAGGATAATTATGCTTTCTGTGTGGAGGGACGCATTAAAAAGCTGCTCGTTGTTTACTCTGCGGTGAGAAATGGGTACATTAAGTGCTGATGCCTGCTGTTGTTTTGACTGTTTTACAAAATACATTTTCCACTATTTTACCACGGTGGAAAAATGTCCTCTTCATTTGAAATCCCTTTTTTGAACTTCAGCTGCATACTAGCTTTTGAGCTTTCAAATGTTGAAATGTGTATTGTCCTCAGTGTAATCGACTAAAATCTCTAGAGCACTTTGAGGAGTCACACATTTTTCCTAAGTGTGTTTTGGGGAAGCTCAGGTGGAAAGCATGTGTAACACTACTGAATGTGTCTATTTTACAGAATCCATTTTTCAAGTTACAGTGTGAAAAACACAGGTGTATGATACAATTAATGATGTATGAATTCAATTTAGCTGCTTCAGTTTCACTACTTTTGTGTCTTTCTGGACACTTGAATAGAACAAGTGTCTATAGACTTTTCATTTGACATTAACGTTAAATTAATTAAAAAACATCTTTGTACAATATGATGAGAGGAAGTACCCGCTGAATGAGCCTCGTATGTGATCGATTATTCATCCATTCCTTCCCTCTGTGCTCTGTACTCTCCAGTCTCATCAATATGTGTCACTCTCTCCTCCTCACCCCCAACCTCCAGCCCTTCAGTCACCCTCAATTCTTCTTTGCACTCTCCATAAGTACTCTACACGTGGTGAACATTACACCTCACAGAGAGAGAGAGAGGCCTTCTAGTCAATGATGAATGCAGTCTTCACTATCTAAAGTAAGTGTAAACTCAGTCACCTTCATGCTTTTAATGAGCCTCTTGAATTTTCTACAATTTTAAATCTGAATCTCATTAAGGAAGAATTAGACTAAAAGGAAATGTGTTCCATCAGACACAAAAATACCCACGCTGCTTCACAACTGTGCTCTGTGTAATATAGATCGTTATGTTTTAGTCGGATGAGCATTTTAATTATGCAAATCATTGATGATCCCCACTATAGGAAGATCCGTAATAAACCAAAAATTGGAAAAAGGACGAAGCACAGCTGCTTGTCACAGAATGGCAGTCTTTCTCTCTAACGTACAGCTTAGCAGTGTAGATCATTTATCATTACATCTGAAGTTAAAGGAACAGGAGCTCATACCGTGTGATTTCCTCCTTTAGAAAGGCGGGTTCAGGCGGGTAAAACTTGACCCTCAGACACATGGTGAAGGGAGGCTGACCTGGAGGACAAACGTTAAACGATAAACGTTTTATTGATTCCTTATATTGAGATAAGAAATTAAACATCATTCACAGGTGATTAAATAATTCTCCAATCTAATATATATATATAAATAAATGAACTATTGATTACCCAATAAAAATAAAGCAAACATGTCTATGTCTAATTTAATATCAGTGCAGATGTCTTAAGTTAAGATTCCAACATTATAAAAATGATGACTACTTACATTTCATTTGCTTTGCAATTGACTTTGTGACCTCCAACCAGTGCTGCATTGGAAATAAAAACCGATAAATGCATAAATCATTGAATTGAATAATGAGAATGTGTATGGCATTCTTTTGAAATCAGGACTCGAGGCACACTGGACAGTTTCATGGTGTCTTTGGCCAGATTCCGACTCTTCTTTCTCACTTGGGAGCATGTTGTCTCCGTCTTTCTCCAAGGAGGCCTCCTCGCCAAACACAACCAAGCCACCCACACAACAACCAACCAAAATAGTCCTGAGCGACAGCATACAGTAGGAAACGCAGCATCAGCGGGACTTTGCTCTTGTCTGCGGGACTACAACATGATCTGTGAACGCGTGAATACTTCATGAGTCAAGCAGCGCCACCGCATGCCTCACAGCAGAGGAGAAGAAGAAGCAACACTGGGTCTAAAAGGCGGCGTGAATAAAATAAACTGAAGAACACAACTTTTCACTCTGTCCCACATTTTCATTCGTCCCACTAAAATAAACCCAAATCCATTTTTAAAAGTATAGCCACTCGTGTTTATATATGGGCACAAAACAACAACCTTTAAGACATTGTGACACGGTGGATCTCCTTCGACAAGTAGAAACTTTGCATTTTTGTTTTAAATATAAACAAGGCTCTATTTCAGGATCCCATGGCAGACTCTAAAGTACCAGCTCAACCTTTGGGGAAATACTTTGATGAGATGGGCGACCGTGGGAGTAAATGATGAAGCTTCATACAAACACAAATGATTTACTAGAGAACTACACTGTACAATGGATCTTATAATTGGAAAAGACTGCCAAACACACATTGTTGCATGATATGATAAAGACCTCTCAGTTTGTGATTTTGGGACACGTACTAACTGAAATAATTGATGCAAGTGCGCACAAACACGCTGTGTCATGCTAATGCACACATACCCGCTGCTTGTCTGGATCCACGTATCTGATACCAAAGTAGTCTTTCTCCAGCAAGTTGAGGTGATGGCAGATGAGGTCAAACAGATACTGACCCTTTGCATCCCGCTGTGACAGAAGAGAGAAAACAAAATTCAGAAAGCATGAGCACAAAAAAGAAAAATCACAAACATTTTAAATATGTAGCCAAGACAAGGTTATAAAAATAACTTCGGTCTGCGGTTCAAACATGAGAAATAATTTTTGCTGGCAGGCTATGTTTCGGTTTGTTTTTAAACCCTGCCAGTGATTTCCCAGATTCATCCAATATTAATACAAAGTGTCTGGAATAAACCTTATTCACAGATAAAGGAGGAGCTCGACGAGGCTGAAATCTCACAGCGGTTTTGCGACAGTAATACTCTGTATTCTCAACCTCACGAGGAAGCTTCTCTTAGAGAAACCCTCGGGTATAAAGCAGCACAGAGAATCCTCCACTGCGTCTACTGAACATCCAATACCCCTCTTCCTGTTTGCAACAATGAATGTGCATACCACTGCTGAACATCTGGATCAATGGGACCGATTGTGTTGCAGAGATCCGACAGTATCAAATAACACCGTCCCATAGCATTCACTGTTTAGACACTCAATCAATGGTAGGACGGAAACAAGGTAAAAGCTGCTCAAAATAATGAATTGCGTTCAGTCCATTGAGGGGAGCCAATAAACGATCACACTTCGGTCACTGTGAAGGGTTATAGAATCAATTCAATAATTTCGTCGACACATGTCTCTTACTTTGGCCCAAAGAAATAGCAATGTGTCCGTGGAATGAAGCACTGAAAAGCTGTCGGTCGGTATCGGCAACACAGCTTGATCATATGAAACGCCTTGTTGTTGCCTTTAATAAATCATGTGTCACATGTTGACTGAGGTCGAATGGGCACAAAAGTCTCACATAACGGCTCACGAGGAGTGCACTATAAATTCAACGCTGCCGGCCACAGTGAATCATCTCAGCCCTCCTTCCCCCGGGCTCTCAGCTCGAATGTCGTGTGACGGAAAGTACTCTTCTCCATGTCATTGCACGGCTGCAGATAAGAATCCGAATTCTGTCGATGTCGGGCCTGTCGCTTAACCGCCGTGACTCTCTGTGACCAAATGGCGGCAGAAGCTCTGCTACTTGGGGTAACTGACCTTTCTGTGGCGAGAGGGCTTCATGGGTGCTAGCCGCTGTCACTTTGAGAATATTTCCTTTGTTACATTACTAACCAATCTGACGTGCCGGCTAGTTTGAGCATGAGCACATGTTTGAATTTAGCTTGAAGAATCACAGACACTGGCATGCGGACAAATAAAAAATAAACTGTCTCCTATAGTCAAGGTACAGAGGATTGCAGACTATCCCCGCCTAGTTTGTCATTGAAAAAGCAGATTTCTTCGTTGAGGTATGGAAAATAATCTGCTAATGCATCTAAATATAGTTATAGTTATATAATTATGCGCACCTAAAGTGCAAAAACTCAAGATTTTTTTTTTTTGTTTTCAAATGATAAATGCTTTCTCCTGTGGTTTCATCATCTGGTTGAGAAGCCTGCAAGAGGCAGTAACTGGGAAGAACAAAGCCCACCACGGATAAAAAAAAAAAACGGTTCTGTATGGAGAGGACATACTGAGTCAGAAAAGACATCTGCTCCTTTGTTGCAAGGAAAGAGTTTGTTAGTATTCAACAGCACTCCCAACAACTCCCGTCCTTCTTCCCCCCTCCTTTGCCCTCTACTCCTGTTTCTGCGTTATTCCCCCGCTGGTCCCTCTAATTACAGGCCTGAAGTGATTGCAACAGAGAAAGGATGTCCTGCAATTCCTAATTAACACCAATGAACCTTGTACTCGCCTAGATTGCCATTTCAATATAGCCCTACAGGAGCCTCAACACATTTACAAACGGGTTAACAGGTGAAGACCTACATACTGACGATATCCATTAGTGCTGTTGTATTTGTCTGCCAATTCTCTAGAAAATAGAGTTAATAAATAAATTGCCAGAAAATAATAGGATGAATTGTTATAATGCAAATGGGGTTGGGTTTTCCTTGACTGTGAAGTTACAAATGGCCCTTTCATACAAAACAATGTAGAAATAATAGGTTTCACCTATGTTTCCCCTACAATTCTAGCCTTAAATGCGGGGAATGTGTGCGCTTTCTTTGTTATCTAACACGTATCCCGACTGCTACCCCCCCCCCTCGTTAGTTATGTATGGTGCTAGTTAGCCTTCCGGGCAAAGCGCTTAGCCGTGCGTGTGTGTACAGCTTTGGCGCTGCGCTAGCCTGCTGCTAGCTTACCGGCTTGGCTAGCCCAGCGGTTCCCAAACTCAAGAATGCAGCGGCCCACTTTGAATTCTGAAAATCTTTCGCGGCCCACCCAAACCTTTAATCACAACTCTGATCAAAACATAATGATTAAATGACCTTAAGAATTTAACCAAAATCAAACATCCGCGAGCAAAAGTCCGTCTCGGTTCGGTGCTAGATTAGGCTATCTTTAAAAACAAGCTCAAAACCACATATTGATTTTTCTATTAACATTTTGAATTTTATATTGATTTGCATTAATATTTTCACATGGTTCTCCCTGTTTAGGTTTAAGAAGTTACAACTTACCACCCACGGTAAATATCTGAAACAACTTGCAGCATTAGCTCCTTATGACACCCGCCTTTTTTATCAATCACACAGTTAAAGAAAAAAATGTCATACAGATTTTTTGGTTTTACAATTGTCTTTTTCTAGATTCCGAGGAAGTCGAAAAGATCCCTGGCCCAAACACTTCGTTGGAGAATGCATAATCGGACCAAGGTTATAATAGTTTTGAATTTTTCACTAGTTTTTATTTTTATTTAGTTTTGACTTGTCGCCGCCGCCGCCGAGGCCTTCGCCGCCGAGGCCTTCGCCGGCGATGCCGCCCCCGCTGCGATGCAGTTTTAAATGCTATTGCCAAATATGCAAATAAAAAAAGGCGAGTTTGCAAAATATTCTTGTTCTTTTAATTTATAGTGTCCTACCTTTACCCCAGTCATTCCAGGGGAATCTAGATGGCATTGCTCCTTTTTTAATCCGAGTTCGTTCACCGGCTGATGTACATAGGTCTTCTGGGGTAAAGTGCTGACTACAGACGTAAGTGCTCCCACGGAGGATTTTAAAATTCGGTCCCTCGTCTCGTTTGATTGCCCTGACCCAACGTGCGCGTATTTCAGCGTCCACTGGAAAATCGTGGAAACTTAAATAAGGACATTTATGTTTGTTGTTTGAACAACAAGGATCACTACAGTAGCATCTACAAGAAGAATCTGCCATGCTTATTGGATGGAAAACTGTTGAAAAATGGACACAGGAATAAAATGAATGAAAGCACATCAGCATATGGAAATGGTTTGACATTTAGCTTTGATAAAAATGTAACACTTTAGTAAACTTGTGGAAAAACACTTTTCCTGAAGTAACGTTGACCAGCGCGCATTAGTTAAACCGGAACTGCGTATTCCTGGCTTAACGGAAAAGCGGAAGTTACCTGACGTCATTGTGAAAAGGGCCTATGGGCACTTTCCTTTCAGATTAATCATTAAAATGGTCTCCATGTCAATGCAGGAGCACAGACCATTAATAAAAGATTGTATCACTTTACTGGTGAGACGAGCGGAAACACAATGCCATTGACTGCGTGGGACTGTGTGTGTGTCTGTGTGTGTGCACAGGTACAGGTACATACTGTCCTGGGGTTATTTCTTTGGTTTGATATGCAGATTACTTTCTTTTGATGGAGGCTGAGCAGTTTCCCGTGCTGCCCGAGCTGCATGGGGATGGAGTCGTGACCCAGACAGACAAGGCTCAACGCACAACCACTTACAATGAATAAAAAGCTCTCTTTGCTGTAATAGCGTGTCTTTTTCTTTCAAGTCATGAACTGGTTTAGTCAAGTATGTAGGTGTTATGAACCAATATATTGATTGTAAATCAATAATCATAGAAACATGATGATAAAGTGACAAAACAACATTGAGAAGGTACTGTGAAGTCACAGTGACGCCTTGAGGAACAACACAGCACAAAGACAAAGCAGATCAAACCGAAGCCCCAAGCGAGTGCAGAAGGAACAGATTTAGCTTTTTAAATGTTTAATTCATGTGAGAAATGGAGTGCTTTAACAGCAAAGACAGATTCATGGGATGCAGTTGTCATAAGCAAGATGATGCTGTGAACCAGAAACAGTTTGCAGGACAATCTTACCAAGCGGGAAAGTGGGCCATCAAAACAAGATGGGGATGGGTGAGGAATCAAGAGAGCAAGTGCAGCTGTGGATGGAGCGATATGGATAATTGCTTTTAAAGCTTCTTGGAATAGGTGAAATGTGAGTTGGCATTAAAAGAGGAATTCATGAGAGAGGATTATTTTTTTCAGCTTAATGCCGAGTACTCACAGTTGATGTTTAACTCTCACCCTGCTTGACAATGTTGGCGATGTTTTCTATAAATCAATGACATTAGGACCAATGTTATTGTTATTGCTCTTGTATCATAAAAAATAGCAGAGACAACTCTTATGCGGGATGTGATATGATTAGAGTGAATATGTATTTTTAAACTACACATCCCTGGTTGCTGTATATATTTTAGTGAGCGTGGAGTTCCTCCCACAACAGCTATGTTTGCGTCCTAAAAAGTGTGACAAATACCCCCCTTAACAAAATGAGCAGCACAATCGTGGTCATGCTTCGGATTAGCATACAAACAATGCTTCATTTTGCTGGCGTCTGCACAGCTTCGGTGGTGCGCCGGTGGGGTCTCCCCCCCGTGACTCAGCGTCGCTAATTCAGACTGCATCGGCCCTTCAGACCTGACATTTATCCTCATGCACTGTTAACCTCTATACGCCACACGCAAACCGGGCAATCTCACGGTGTGCAGTGTGATCGTAGCTGGATGTGGGTTTCGCCCAAAGGCACGACACGTCGTACCAGACACGCACATTCCAGTCGCTGTCAGAGACTCGTCGGAAACAATAATGTCTGCTGTTTATCAGCGTAATAGCCATGAGCACTATTGGATTCCTTGGTAGGGGAAGCTGTTA